CCGTTGGTGTGTGTGTGTGTGTGTGTGTGTGGGGGGGGGGGGGGGGTCACTTCCTCTGCTGCTCTATTCATTAAAAAATTTGGGATTGACTTTTCTCACCACATTTTTCCCTTTTTTACCTAATAGTGTCTAAAATTGGAATAATTTGGGTAAAATGTGTTTAACTGACTTAATTTTACAGATGTGGTTCACTCGTTTAATCAATACATTTGCAGTGGTCTCCATTAGGAATGCCTTGTAAGTCGTCCTCTGAGGGAAAAAAGCTCTGGTGCACCAGTTTCAGGAACTAGAAGTGAGTCCAGAGCAGAGCTTCAGACGATTTGGAGTCTTATTTCCTGATATTTGGAGATCTCACTTCTGATTGGATAACAGCAGCGCAACTCTACCACATACTATTGTTTGCACAACTAACTCCAGCCTGGAGGAGTTCTGCTGTGTGGAAGAGTTGCTAATGCTAACGGTAATGCTTCTACAACTCGAGTTGCCCTCTGATGTTTCCTGGACGCTAAACCAACAGCAGCCTTCATGAATGTTAAGTGGCGGTGTGACGTAGATCTGCCAGGCATTTTTCACTGTCTATTCTCTATCAGAAGCTAATGTAGGAGACTATTTTCATGTTCAGCCTGTATGAAAAACTCAGCATGACTGATTATAATCAGAAATAATAATAAAAATGTTTTTCAGTGTTCCAAACCTCCAAAGTTAAAAAGTAAAAAATAACTTGATGAGTGAAGAGATTATTTTTCGCGGAGGGATTGGATAATTCCATCTAACCACCACAGAACAACAATTACACCGTCTTCTTTACAAGACTGTGTTGAAAACAGATGTACGATACTGTGCAAAAATCTGATATCATCGCTCAATTTTTCCATTTGATCAACAACTTCTGAAGTTTTTTACTTTTTATTTAAACATCAGTTGCTTGTTTCAGCGATTTTCTGTCAAGACGTTTTTCACACAGTAATATAAATAGTTTTTTTTTTAACCGTGTCCTGTCTGGCTGTGAAGCAAGCAGAATTGATGTCTGAATGCTGGTAATAAGCCTTACAGATTTATTCTCAGGTGGAGCATCAAAGCGTCTGCTTTTAATGTCATGCCTGATACTTCAAATTTTATTGTTGTTGTTTTTGAATGCTTTGTAATTCCGACCAGACACGGAGACAGAGGTGAAAGAGAAAGGAAAAGACAAATGGTGGGAAGATAGGTTGTTTTAAAAATTATTAAAATACCCTGCAGGCCACTGGAAAAATAAAACATTTAGAAAGATTAATTAAAGTGACGGTGTGTGTTTTCCCTGGCAATAAGGGGCAGTGCATATACCTAAATCATTGCAAGCAAGCTGTATTTTTGTGTTCGAGTAAGACCTTATCTACGGATGGCCACTAGGGTCAAAAACTTGCATCAAAATGACAAGAACATCAGACTCCCTTTCATCACTGGCAACGAGTGAAAAGGTAGATGTGTAAAACAACAATGTTCATGAACGGTGAAAGTTTTGTAACCGCTTGCTACAAATCAGTTAATGTGTTTTGTCCTCACGAGCTCCCATAGAAGGAAACATGGCGTCTAATATTAGCCTGCCAGACTCCCCTCTGTCTAATCTACACAGAGGATGAGTCTGGTCACTCAGAGGCAGAGAGCACCATGAGAGGCGGGACTACAGCCATAGACAAACATCTTTCTTTAGCAGAAAGGCTTTTAGCGCTTCCTGTTGTGGTTTTAAAGACACGGCCAAGTCATTTAGAACAGAGGAAAGAGCCGCAGCAAACTCAGTTTCAGACGCCGTCTTCATTGTTTATGAGAAATTGAGCATCGCAGCATTTGGCGTACGCTGCTCGGCACTGATTGGCTCGGTTAGAATTCTCGGGGGTGGGGTTACCAGGTTCTTTGCTTCCCATAGGGAAGCATTGGAGTGGCTGGCCAGGCTAGTCTAATATGGCGTCGCCCAAAGACTCAGGCCCGCTCACATATATTTTAGACCTGGTTTTTATGGTTGTATGTACATTTTTCAACAACTGGGCGTCATTGAATTCATGGTCAACAACATTCCGATGGATATTTTCAGAGATTACTGGTAAAAACTACACATTGTCTCTTTGAAGTCTGGTTAAAAAGTTGGAGCTGATTAAAAAGTGAGATTGCGTTATGTGTTGCAGCATTGGGGGACAAATGCAATCCCTTAAAGAGTAGTTGTACATTTCAGACTCTTTTTAGCTCGTGTACATTTTTTCTGCTAATTTCATCACAACATTTTTTTGATGTGCTCTAAAATGTGCCACAATCTTCCAAATAAACCCGCTAACGTTTACAGAATTGCATAAATTCCCATTAGACCTTCTGGACCCCATTGGTGCCTCGGTGAAGAGATGAGCCTGAATATTAGAAACGTGCATTTATGAGTTTAGTGCAATCCGTGTTTCTTTGTGATGCAACTGCCAGACAATAATGAATGGTTAGGAGCATCTACGGGCATATGTGGGTCAGCTGAGAGTGTTTCTCCTCATCTCTGTGGGTGGTTTGGTTCGAATTCAAAGAACCATCTGTTGTGAAGCACGGCAGCATTCCTCGTAGCCCTGAAACCATCATAATAACTCTCGGCCTGTCAGCAAGGGATCATCCAGCAAATTGAGGGGGGGATTCATTGGGTGGTGCCTGTGCTGACATTCATTGACGTTCCCACCTGAAATGGATAAGAGAACAGTAAAAGGATGGATTAAGGCTTGGTGCATCACTTTCAGCTCCCTGTGTCAATAGATCTCATCACGACTCAATCAAAATATATCAAGCCGGAAGAGATGCACTTAGGAACGGGGGAATTCTCAACCACAAACAGGACAGAATGTCAAAGTGAGGGAGAGTAAACAACTGTGCACAGAAATGGTGGAGGAGACTGACGGGGCTGACAGGTTGACAGCAGCGCAGCACGGAAAGCAAAAACAGCAAGATGGCCACAGGAGGAGGGTGGCAACAGATAATTGTGAAAAACGTCTGATTTTTTTTTCATCGCCTGATATAATTTAAGAAAGAAGAGGTGAAAATTGAATTTCTGAGATAAAGATTGTTGTCATCGTGTTTGGGAGGAGTGAAACAAAAGGAGTGGTCGCCTTTAGTTCGTCTGCAAGGAATGACCCCAGGCAGGTTCAGACTGAAGCGTGGAAATGACAGAGCTGAAGCTGCTGATGCCGTTTACCGAGGCTCTGACAGACGCTTGCAGGTTGTGCACAAGCAGGTTTCTGCAACGTGTTCCACTTTCATATGCTTACTGTCACCAATGGCATCTTGCAGCAGTTGCTGTTCCAGAAAATCTTGTGTTAGCCTCTGTTAGTGTTCATATATCCAGTTGTATGGAAAAATGAAAGTATTTTATAAGTTGACGGTTTTCATTCCTGTGTTGCTTCTGTTCTTCTCTGACTGTTAAAATCAAGTCATAAATAACCAGTTCCTGATTTTCACTTTTTAATTTCCTCGTTTCTTTTTTGCAGACTGACTAGCTCAGAGGTGGGGGAGAGATTTTCTACAGAACCTCACTTCCGAAGATCTGAACAATTCCATAAAGTTCACTCAGCGTTGTGTCATTCTAAGAATGCAGTTTTTTAAATGTCACATGACTGAAACCAACTTCCTTCTAAGCAGATCAAGATAAATATCCACCGTCGTAGATATCCACCCACACGCAATCAACGAGCAATCTCTGCATTGCCTCTACAGGACTCGACCTAAACCAATAGTCCATGTTGTCATTATGTGAATTACTCATGCAGCTCCTCTGAGTAATACACGGAATGAGGATAAGGTTCGGATAGAGAGGTATTAGAGAGGAAGAGGAGGAGGTGGAGGAGAGGAGTGTTGAATAGAAGGTGATGAATGAGATGACTGAAGGCAAAGAGGGAGAAACAGACAGAGAGAGAGAGAGAGAGAGAGAGAGAGAGAGAGAGAGAGAGAGAGAGAGAGAGAGAGAGAGAGAGAGAGAGAGAGAGAGAGAGAGAGGTGGATTTTAAATTACACGGTGGCTCATGTCAGCAGCCATAATTAGTAGCTTGGTCAGGTGTGGTGAATGGGACAGGAAGCATGAAAGGAAGGACAAAACGCCACGAAAACAAAGCAGAGTGCGCGAAGAACAGTAGACTCTTGACACTTTTTGGTGCCGCGACATGAACGTTCCTGAGGAGGAGAAAGTCAACAAGAACGCTGACGAGGAAGGCGCCGGTGAATGGAAATAAGCTTACAAGTGGGCAGCTTATCACAGCAGGAGCGTGTCAAGCGAGCGGATGACGAGTCAGAGAATTCAGACAATTCCTGACCTGCATGGACGTAATTTTTGGGGGGGGGACAGGGGGGCCATGTCCCCCCATTTTTTTTCCAAAGTCAAGTTTTGACCCCTGCACTTTTTACCATCCAAAAACAACATGACGCTATATTAAATTGACACTGGTTGAGCTCTAGGACCAAGCAGAAAACAACCATTTGTGTTGAAGCCTGTTTCCCATTAGAACATACTGTAAAGACCCCCCCCCCCCCCCCCCCAAAGTGAAAATTACGTCCATGCTGACCTGGCTGACTGAACGGCAAATCAGACAAAGAGCTAAAGTAGAAGAGAGTGTGAGGGTGAAAGAAAACCCTAACCCTCCCAGTCACTAATTTTAAAAGGGAAAAACAGTCAATGTGTATAATTAAACCTAATTTTGTTTTTAAATTAAAGAAGTTGCTCTTCATGAAAATCTAATCAGGCAAAGAAAAACATTTTTTATTGAAACGTTCCCCCCAAAGTCTCACACAGGTCCGTCCTCCTGTTTGCCCACAGACAAAAGAGGGTGTCAGAAAATGAAGATGCATCTGTGTGATCCGGACATAGCTGTGTGACAGCCAAGGCACCCCCCTGGAGAAAGCCTCACGCCTCTAGGCAGGACATTGACACACACACACACACACTCACACACTCCAAGGAGGAGTCATGATGGGGTAGGAGGAGGTGGCACAAGAGGAAAAGGGAGTGTATTTCTCTCTCTGAGACACACACCTTCCCTCCTCCACACTCTGTTACGCAGTCGGTCACACTTAGGTACGTTCAGGCTGGGTGAGCCACAGAAGAGGAAAGACGCTCAGCAGTGGATCAGACGAACTCCAGCTCAAGTTGGGCACAGACAGTCAAACTTGCCTTATGTGTGGCTCCTCTCAAGGCTTTACAGTAAGTGACCTTTACACCCATCTTTGATTCTTTCATGGATTCACTCTAAATATTTTTTGCCTTGTTGCACATCTGCTGCCACAGGAAGAGTGTGCTTTCTAGACTCAAACTGATACACGCCGTGCTGCGAGCCACAGATGAGTTTTTGATTCGTGTCTTTGGTCTTCAGGATATATTTTCTGCTGTGTCACTAGGTTCAACAGTTTCAGAGTGAGCTGTCACACTTGTGACAGTCATTCCGAGTCAGCTGTGGCAACACGCTTCAGAGAAAACGAGTGTGAAACTCTGTCCATAAATCTCATCTTTCTCTGCACTTCTTATTTGAAGTTGTTTTGATTTTCTTATTTTCCACCAGAGATCAAGAAGCAGCTCACGTGATGTCGCTCTTTTATATTCCTGATCAACCGCGTAAGCATGCTGAAGAATTTAGAACTTTTAATTGGACTTTTTTAGGGTTAGGGTTATTTCTAGTTCCTGGATGAATGAGAATTAATGCAAATTCAGATTTAAGAAATGTCAAATTAAGAAGCTCGGGTTGTTTGTTTTTAAATCAAGGTTAAATTTGGAGCTGAGCTGAAGTCACATGGTTTCCTACAGAATATTAACAAGCACAGCGCTTATCAGTCACTATCTCGGCTGCAGACTGATGCGTCTAATAAAGGAGACGTTCTGCAGACTGTATTTGTATCTCCAGCATTCAGTCTTTCTTAACCCTCTCATGCTCAAAATAAGTTTTGATAAAAGGACGAACAACTAAGTCCTTCAGCGGTACTTCTGCGTTAAACAATGCTCATGAAATACGTATGTGGAGTAACCAGGTAGGTAGGTTTTAACTGTTGCAAATCTGCAACGCCTGCCTCCTGAGGGTTAACACCCCTTTATATTGTGCTCATCATCAGGGCTGAGGTTACCTGACCACAGTCTTCGCAAAGAAGGATGTGAAGCAGAGAAATCAGCACAGACAGAAAGAGAAAGAGTTCAAAACTGGCCGAGAGCCAGGTCCATTTAAAGGAAGTCGGGCTGACTCACTTGGAGTGCTTACTTGTTTCCTTGTGAAAGTGGTCTTGCTTCAGGGCTGACGTGCAACAAACAAATCTTCCTCGTAGCCTGAAGCGTTGTGATTTGGAGAGTGAAAGAATGCATGGGACAGCGGGGGTAAGAGGGCACTTTGAAGTTTGTTTGTCCACTCGTAGCAGCTGAAGTTGAATTCTTTATCCCAAATTTGCCTCATCTGCCTCCACAAAAATCTTATTTCACACTTGGGGATCTAATTTTAGCTCCATTCAAAGCTGGACTTCCTTTAGTGCAGCTGTTCCTATTGTTTTCCTTCAATCTGTGGCACAAAAATAGTAAAGCCAAACTGGATTTTGTGCTAGTAAATATAGACGTCAAGAAAGTCCAAAATGATGCATTTGAAAGAAATCCATTAGCTGCGTATTTTCTCTACTTTTTGTTTTGTTTTCTTCTCTAGGCCTCCTCCCCTGAATGCACCACAGTCATGTTAACCTCAGAGAAATCTCCACAAAGCATCGGAGCCACCACAGCAGAGATGCCAGGTCCGCAGGATGTAGATATGAAATCGTGGAGCGAGACGGACTTTGAGGAGAAGTGCACTTACATTGTGAAGGATCAACCTCTAGAAGAAGAGTCCAAAAGTCACAATGGCAAGGTTCGAGCTGAGAGGTCCTTACCCAGAAACCTTGCCCTGAAACGGAGCAACAACTCAACAGAGGTGCGCAGGACCTTCCTAATTTCTTGAACTACTTGCTTTGTGTGTTTTTACACAAAATCGCAATTTCTGCAGAAAATGTGCAGCAGTTGTTGATGTTTTTGGACTGCCAACTCTTTACGTCACTCCGACATCCTTCCATCCATGCATCCATCCTCAGGCGGGAAGTACTTGACGTGTTGTTGTCCAATTCGGGTCTTTCCCTCACTGCTGTGAATTAGCCGAGGCAAAGACAGAGACAATGGCCAAGTTCCTTAGCAATTAGCCCAAGGGCACTGTGATTGGCGGCTACCTTAGATCCCTTTGTTCCAGCTAGTTATTACATTATAATGCAAAGGTGAGACATGGGGACCTGTTACATGGACAACATCGTCAAAGGTGGACACGCGCATGGTGATGGAAGATAAGTGATGAAAAGAAAACCAAAGATCAGAAACGGTTGTCTGTAGATAAGATGTGGTATTCAGATGTAATCAGAGGAAGCAGGTTTGTTGCTTGTTACTAAATACCGGCTTTTACCATTTTGAACTTTCACCAGACTTCTTTGAATTTTGATTGGCATCAAGGAACTGCATTTGTTAGAGTTGTCAGCCGTATGAGGAATAAGGACAAGGCCAGAAAACTAGGTGGATGAGTTCAACTGTCCGGCTGGCCCAGTAAATATCCTGTACCAGTGTTCCCATGAAAGAGACTCTTTCCATCGCTTTTGTGCTCTTGCTTTTTGAACACGGAGCTCAGATTAATGTTCGCTGGTCGGGGTGTGAACGTGACACACTTCCTTGGCCCAAAGGCTTGAGAAAGAGGAGTGAATTTCACACCTGGAGGTACCAGAACAAGAGTTGAAACCGCAGAGAACTCGGGTGACTGTCTCATGAAAAATTCAGCATGTGAAGGATGGAGCACATTCAGTCACAGACTTAAAAAAGCAGTGCGTGAAAATGTTGTGGCAATAGTTAATGCATTACAGGAATCAGATCGATTACCTTGTTTAATCACAAAGAAGAATGGGTAAAGATTAAAGGTCTGATCATGCTGACAGTTTTCCCAAGAGCCTCATCCCTTTAATTATGTGATTCTAATCAAAGCGTCTGCTCAGCCCTCCAATTTGTGAACCAGCCCGTTTGATGTTTCTGTCTCCTCTGTGTTGAACAGGTGCTCGGGGTGACGAGCAAAGAGCTGATTCCCAAAGGGACGCGATTCGGCCCTTTCGTCGGGGAAAGCTACACCAACGAAACCCTGCCGAAAAATGCTGACCGAAGATATTTTTGGAGGGTAAGTGAGCTACGTGCTGGAGGCGCTGCAGGGGTTCTGCTGTGGTGCAAGCTGGCAGTTGTGGCCAAGGGCCGTCATCCTGTTAAAGTCGAGTCGTGATGCTAATGTGTGGTTTTAGCGAAGAAAAGTGCATTTGCTAATTATGCAAAGGTGTTTTGTCAGTTTTTTTGGTGACTTTGTGAGGTTTTTCTCTCTCTCAGCACACATTCACACAGCTGTTTGGTTTCAGTGACGCAGTGTTTCTTCTCTCTCTGCTTCTCTCAGCTGTGGTATCACTGCCAGTAAATACACCGTACACATGTCCGCACTTCTCCAGACTCACAAACTTTCACACTGACTAAGCGAGGAAGTGGCTTTGAGTCTGAAAACGGTGATGCTACAATTCAGCAGCATTGGGACATCTTCCATTGCACACACACACACACACACACACACACACACACACACACACACACACACACACACGCACACACGCTTTTTTGTGATTAGGCAAATCAGAGTTAGGAACATAGAAATTATCTAAGCCTGACCAAAACTTGCAACAGACATACCGATATTTTACCACGACTCAAGCAATAAAGTCATGCCGACATAAAAAAGGGAGTAGGGAGGAAGAGGGGGAGGATACCTTCACTACAACTGTGACAGATGTGGGCTATGATGCAATCAAGTCATACAGAGAAATTCTTGTTCAGTTAATTTCTAAACAGGTGACAGCCACAACCCCAAGTGGAATAAATAGACTATTTACCACAAAGACAATGACATCAGGATTGGTGAGGTCCTGTTTAAGAAGTTGATGTGTTGTTATCAACCAGATAATCCTGTGTTGCAATGGCTTTCTTAGGTGTTCTTTGACGGGCAGTTACACCACATCCTGGATGGTCTGAACGAGGAGAAGAGCAACTGGATGCGCTTCGTCAACCCAGCTCGTTCGGTGGAAGAGCAGAACCTGGTTGCCTGCCAGAGTGGATTGGATGTCTACTTCTACACTATCAAACCCCTTCATCCAGGCCAGGAGCTTCTGGTGTGGTACTGCCCAGAATTCGCCCAGCGCTGCAAGTACCCTCCTCTGGGCCAGCTGGTTGTTGATAAAAAGGGTGAGTGTTAGAGCAGAATCCACGCGGGATGGTCTTCCGCGGCCACACTTTGATGTGTTTCTGGTTTGGACTGTCACAGTGAAAGCGCCCAGTCAAAGGGGTGACCGACTGACACACTCTTTGTGTGGGTGTTTAAAAAGTTACTCAGTCACACCCATGGGCCCTTTGTTAAAGCAGAGCACAAAGAATCATGGTAGAGTCCTGAAAACAGAGAGGGGCTTGTCTACAGGTGCAGCACGGGAGTAAAACGAGACCAAATTCAGGATTTCGGGCGATGTTTCAGTTTCCCTTTTCTTTTTTAAGCACCCCTGGCTGCTCAGTCAAACCTGGAAACAAAGGGCGCTCATTTGGAGCCACAAAGAAAAACTGTCAGAGACGCCACAAGCGTGCACACAATGCTCATTAAGAAACTCGTGCTCACAACGAGGTGGCTGCTGATGCTCTGGCACGACTCCCCTTCGTTTGTTTGGCTTTTTAAAGAGGAAGAGTGGTAGGAAGTCTTGCAGTGACTACGTTAACTTCCTGACAAGGTGACCCGCTGAAAGATTGATATCTCACTTGGAGTGCGTTGTTTGTTTGCTAAGAGCGGGGCTCTCTGGAGATGGGGGTGTAGGGTGGGAGGGGTGAGGGGCAGAGCAAGGAGGGAGTGAACAAAAGATAAGGCTTGCTATGTTACATGTGGGTTGCTGTTAACTAAGTCCAAAAGTAGGTTAAGTATACAAGCTCACCTCTGTAAGTTCTTTGTCTTGTAAGAAAATCACACAACTCTGCTGAATATTAACGTGATTTCACGAGTTAGGATTAAGTGTAGAATTCCCCTGATTTTCACAATCATTTATAACCTAACTAGTGAATTTGGATGGATTTCTGTCTGTTTACATCTGGGTAAAACCATCCCTCATAACTCATTTGAAGATGAAACTGCCTTTGTATTCTGTTTCCTGTGTATCCTGCCTTAGCAACGATAAAACAAGGCAGTTACAAATCACTGTCACTCTGAAATAGATAACATACTGTATTCACACTCCTAACGCTATCTGTATCCTGATCAACCCCCCCATTGTTTAAGTTTGGGTGTCCACCTTCACAGAGTTCAAAGGTCATAGAGACACAGACCCATGTATCATTTGAAAAATTCAAGGTCTAGCACTCTTGGAAGGAGTGTCTATCATTCACCTTTCTTCTTGCCAAAGTTTTAAGTAACATCTTTTGTAGAAATGTTTTGAAGTTATAGAATTTTTTGGTCAAATTTAGAAAATAATATGCACAGTGTCATGCTAAGTCTCACACAGAGCATGTTTTCTGAATAACCCAACATCTACATTAGATTTTGGCTCAGTATTGAAGGACTTCACTGAATTACAGCCACTTTCGTGTTGGCCGAGGTTGATCTGCCGGGTTGGCCTTCCTGAACTGGACGGACCTTTGGGATTGTGTTCTTGTGTGTACATTTGTGCACCAGTAGACCTATAGTGATGCTAGAACTTACTTGTGACTAAAATAGATTTAACAGTTTTTAATGTTGCATCTCCTTTGCCTATTTTTCCAACAGAACTGTGTCAGACTTACGAGAAAACCAAAGAGAAACGAGGCCACAGTGTTTTAGAGATCCTCCGAGAGGAACCCTCCAAATCTAAATGCCCAAGACGCCTGGACAGTCCTTTGTCTCAGGCCAGTGTCTCCGCTGTTTTCCCCTTATGTCCCAGTGTCATCTACCCAATACAGGCCAACTCTGATTCTATCCATGGCCACAGATATTCCTCTTTAACCTCTATGCCCTCAAGCAGCCCTGTGGCTACCAAAAGCCCAGCACTAAATGGTGTCCACCTCAACTATCACCTCAGTCAAGACCCGATCCAAGCCAAACCTTTCCAAGAAACCTCTGTCCTTGATCCTGTGTCTGCTCTTAGGCATCCTTATCTGCTGCCTCACTACTCACTTGGCCTTTTGCCACATTCACACCCGTTCTACAGCGATCAAATCAAACCACACTTGGCCATGTCATCTAATTTCATGCCTTTTGATAACTACTCACACCTCCCACATCTTTTGGTAGGTGGATGCAAAGACTTGGTGCTTACACCATCAATTTCTAAACAAGAGCTCATGATTTCATCAACCAGTGAGCACAAAGACAACAGTGACCTCTACTCCCAAAAGACAAGCTACCTCAAAAATCCCTCAAAGGACTTCAGAGATTTCAAACACTCTGCTTGCACAGACCTCGCTATATCTGCTAGAGCCAGCTCTTCCCCCATTGACAGTAAAATCCTCAGAGTACCCTCATCCACACCTAGGGAATGCTCGCCACCTCTTGGCATGGCCGCCTCTTTCAACTGCCTTTCTTCCAAATCTACCTCTGCCTCTCAAGGCTATACTGAAGGTGCACTGGGCCTCAGGAGTACAAAGAGAGGAGGACAGACCCTTGGCTACAAGACCCTATCGTACCCTCTTACCAGGCAGAATGGAAAGATCCGGTATGAGTGCAATATTTGTGGAAAGGTCTTTGGGCAGCTGTCCAATCTCAAGGTAAGTTCCTCATTACCATAAGCTAGCAGCTTGTACAGTCACTGCATGGTGAGTTGACATAGTGCTAATCTGTCAGATTCTGTTGCCAGGTCCATCTGCGAGTGCACAGCGGTGAACGTCCCTTCAGGTGTCAGACCTGCAACAAGAACTTCACTCAGCTGGCACATCTGCAAAAACACTACCTCGTTCACACGGGGGAAAAGCCCCATGAGTGCAAGGTTAGCCTTCAGCATTTATGGATTTATTTTACTGGTTGGATGTGTATGTTAACTCCATTGTTAATGTTTTATCAAGTTGGGTTTTTTTCATCACTTTTGATGTTTAATCCTGGTAGACAGTATTCAGAGCAATTACAGTTTGGAGAATCAGGGAGAATGTTTCAAGTGAAAATAAGTAACTTTTCACTACATAATACACCTGAAATCTCCATTTTTTTAATAAAAATCCTTGCAAACACCATGTCATGGGTTTTTAGACTATTTTTGTCTAGCATATGTGATGGAATTGGCATGCCTAACGTGGTTCATCTTTAAATTTGAGTTTCACCTCAGATGGACCAACGACCATGTTGCAGTGATTGACATAAATTAAAAGTTATCATTGTTGAAAAGTGAAGCCAAACTGTTTCTCTTAGAAGCACTGTCATGTTGTATTTTTGCTTCCAGAGTCCACACACTCAAGATATGTTGCTGAAAGTTCTGATGAATAACATTTTATTGCAAAAGTGAAAGTAACAGAGAACTCACTTGCAGTGATTCAAAGCTTTTTAAAACGTGGGTTATTTTAGTTGATGGAAATTTACTCTTTTGTTTCACAAGTGGTTAAAGTAACACTGAGCAGTTTGTTGCTCCTTTGCCCTACTGGTTGAAAGTGGAATTACAACTGTCCTATACAAAACCTGCTGTAGCTAGCCTAACAAAGAGCTAACACTAACATGAGCCAGCTAATACTAAAATAAACCACAAAGTAAAAAGACCCACACTGTTGAAAAAATATATTAATACTTACAAGTCCAGTAGCAACAAAGCCAGGTCACCACCAGTCACTGATTTTGTAGCCTCCTTTAGCTCCCTCAAACTAGCATAGGCCGCGCCGATGTTCATTCTGGTTTTAGCTTGCTTTGCCTCCAAAGACATGATGCCAACAAAAAAGGGCAAACTTCTTCTTTTTCTTCTTCTTGTGCTTTTTATTGATGATTGGCTGACTGAAAAAGCTAACTGCTAACATAACAGCCGTAAAGCAGGTAAAGAGCACCCCCTATAGGGTACCTGCCCACTCCACAAAACTATCTAGTGTGATTTTTGGTCAGTGGAGGTCTGCAGAGTGAAATATAAAACTGGTCAAGTTTCTAACTCAACAGTCACTGAGATCAACGTTAAAGCTCTATAGCTTAAAGTTGAAAAAAACTGTTTAGAGTTACTTTAAATGTACTCCCCTCTGGACAACTTTTCCTTTATTCTCTAAACCAAAATAGGTGAAATACTCATAACATACAACACCATATCAAACAATTAGCTCTTATTTTGATTCAAATTCTTTGTGTTATAAAACAATAAGCAATTTAGAACAAATATATTCATATATTACCCTCTGCTTTGTTCTGAAACAGGTGTGCCATAAGCGGTTTAGCAGCACCAGCAACTTGAAGACCCACCAGCGGCTGCACTCAGGTGAGAGGCCTTACCAATGCAAGCTCTGCCCAGCCCGATTTACTCAGTTCATTCACCTCAAGCTCCACAAACGCCTGCACACAGGCGAGCGACCCCACCACTGTCCTCACTGCCCCTGTGCCTATCTCCACTACTGCAGTCTGCAGGTACACCTCCAAGGATTCTGCCCTCTTTCCCCCTCAGCAACCCAGAGGCTCTCTCCAGAGGAGCTGCATCGGATCAACTCTGAGATAGAGCAGTTTGACTTGAGTGAGGCCGCAGAGCAGCTTGAAGCCATGGCTACAGAGGTTAAGATGGAAAAGGGGGATGTCAATGTTCTGATGCAAAAGATAGAGACTTGTGTCTCATACCTGCAGGACTTTGCCAGAGGAAACACTGAGCTGAGCATCAGATCAGCAAAGGACTGTGCTGACGCGCAGCTGCACCGTGACTGTTCACTGCATCTGCAACCAGCAAGCATCAAGCTGGAGTCGGGCTGCATTTCAGAGACTTAAGACTGACCTGCTAATCCAACCAAATAATCCTCAGACGCCAACCCAGCATCTGTCTGTCACTGTCCTATTTGAAGTAAAGCCTTATCTGAATCATGGACTTCCTGTAACTCTACAGGGAGTTTAGCTTACGAAGAGTCAAGACTTTGACAGCACTGCCTGGGAAAAGTGACTAATTTTAATTTATTCATTTGCTAATTTGAATCTTGACATGTATAAAAATACAGAATTGTTATATTTTCTTCTATTTGTTTTGTACCTCTAGAACATCTCAATGTAACTACAGAGTCAGCGAATATGCGTAACAATGTAACATGGATTTGTAGTTTCACTGTGTGAGACCGAGGGCTCTCGTTTGTGCCCGTATTTATATCGACTAATTAAAAGTGACGATGACTGCACGAGCACGGCTGTCTGTGGTGTCAGGGGGCAAACTTATAAAGTGACGACGCAGAGGAAACCTCAGTTGTTCGTGCATGGCACACATGCTGTATGAGTGCACTCTGCTGATGTGGGAAGTCGGTGATTCAGACAAACATCCTGTTATGAGTTATAAGTCTCGGGATTTGCAGCATCAGTAAGCATCCGCGCTTCACACCGAAAGACAAACACCTGAAAAGAAAACTACGTTGTCCATGTCTAAGATCACAAAGCAAATTGTGCGCTAATATTTCTTTTGCATGGTTTCTGTTTTAATCAGGTGGTATACAATTTGTCTAACAGATGACTAACTAATGACATGATTGAGCAAAAATAGTGCATTAGCAATGTGATGAACAATTTCTCAAAGCAGAATCCCAACATATAGAGCTCCGGGAGTTGACGTCACTTCTCCCGGTATGCAACAGTTCAAATCGAAACGGCACCATATTGGCAGGCAGAAGCTGGCAGCTGGACTATTTGTTATTGTCAGAAACTCAATCAGACAGGAAATATGGTAGATTCCTGTTGTGCCCCAGGATGCAGAACAGACGCAGACGACATAAGGAATGAGCCATCTACAGGATTCCCCAAGATCCGGAGCGCCGGAAACGTTGGATCATTGTAATAAAACGCACTAGTGACTTGGCTGAAATGAAGCTGTGGGATTCCGAGAGTAAAGGATTTCGCTTATGCAGCGACTACTTCATATCAGGTACTTAAACCAACGTTTCCTCAACTGTGTATGGTGTTTATTTTAAATGCTTTTATTACGATTCTTAGTGGGCTTCCTAAACTTATTTTGGCGTGGCTTTTTCTGTCTTATTACTCATAGCAACAAGTAAACGTTACGTATAACGTTGCCTCGTGAGTTCTGCGTGCTGCCGTTTACGTGTTTTATGATCACAGCAATTAAGCGGCTAAGCTGTATTTCATTTTTAAGCAATGGTTGATCAAGTGTCAGATCACACATAAAAAGCACTTTGGATTGCTATTATCTGTCTCACCGAGACAGATCTCAGACAGATCCTGAGACGCTCCTGCCTGGCATATTTATTTTATTCATGGAAAAAAATCAAACTAGTGATTTCTCTTGGCGTTCAGTTTATACATTCAAACAGCACAGCACTCTATTTAAACTACTTATGTGTAAATCTGTTATTTGTCCATCCATTTTCATCTGCGTATCCGGAGTCGGGTTGCGGGGGCAGTAGCATCGAGAGTCTCAGACTTCCCTCTCCCCAGCCTGAGCCAGCTCCTCCGGGGGAATCCCAAGGGGTTCCCCGGCCAGGTCCGGTAAGAAGTCCGCTCCGACAGCTTCTGGCGTTTTTAAAAAGTATCCCAGGGGCACGGTAAGGGTCAGAAATGTTTAGTCTATTTAATTTCTGACTATATAAAACGATTTCTTCGGTTTTAAATTGTGAAGTAAACTCAGACGAAGTAAAATCCAAGCAGATCCCGTTCATGTTCATGTTTACGATCCGTGTTTGTTTACCTTTTTTTTCCTGCCAATATGGCGTCTACTAACTGAGAGTCACGTGGGGTCCGGAGCTCTATTGGAGATTTCATCAACGTCTGTATGTTAAAGAATGGCTGCATTAGTGGTCATCTGAGTGCATCATTAATCCTGAAGAATATACCCAGGTTTTGGTCAGCTGCTGTCTATTCACCATTCTAACAACATATTTATAATAGTAAAAGTTTTACTTTAGCCCTAGTTGAATAAAGATTAAATGGGTAACTAAAATTCTACTTGAGGCATTATACTTTGCCTTTTAATTGATAGGAACTGGTGTCATGGCCTGTGCTGAGTTGACTTCTGTTTTGTGCTGAGTCCTGTGTGCAGGTGGGTGTGTACGGAGAGCAGCTGCTGTAGATCTGCTCATCAGTGGTCTCGTCAGTGCCGGATGATACTCAGTATTGGGTAGTATTCTCACCAGTACTTTGCCTGTCTCTAGCTCATTTTGGTCTCCTGTGTACCTCGCTTCCCTCATACTGATCTGCCCTGTTTCCTCCGACCTCCTCAGGTCCACCAGTCTACTTCCATCATCAAAGTAATAGACTCATCGGAACAACCCTGCCTGCCAGCCCCGTCGCTCGCCCCTGACCATCTGCTCTCCAACCCTCACCTGCCAACCTGGACACCTTGGACTCCGGAGCTCAGCTCCCAGCCATTGCCTCTGCCTCTCACCCGACCAGCTCAGCCAGCCTTGACTTACCCCCTCCTCTCAAGCTCCCCCAACAACCAGGAAACTGTAAGCCAGCTCTCATTAGGCTTTGTGCCCGCTGATCTACAACTACTCACTCTTGTTTCTGCTTCAGAACTCCATCGGAACCACCTGAACCCCGACCTTCATCTACACCTCCACCGAACAAAAATAAATAATTTTTTACTTACCTTCTGCCTCTTGTGTGATTCTGCATGTCGTGGGTCAAAAAACTACAACCCAACATGACAACTGGTCTGTCTGTAGTCTTTGTTGAAAACACTAAAGTTATTTGTAAATGCAACATAAGGTTTTAAATAAACTATTATCTATAATGTTACAGCTGCTGGAGTTTACTCCCTATAGAATGATTAGGTAATGGCGTGTCTTGAGTGCAGCCAAGCCAATAATGATTTCTGTAGAATTCAAAATGTGCAACAAATTTCAATAATGTTTTGAGAAATCACACATTCCTTATTGGTTTTTTACCATTTAACTTTTTTTAATTTTTAGGATTGTGCTTTGACTAGCCGTTAGCTCATCAGTCCTGCAGGATGCAAAGTCAATTTCTCCCACGTAAGGCTGTTCAGGTCTAACTTTTATCTCGTAAATGCCTCCTATGGTTAAAACAAAGAAATCCCTTTAAGGCAAATAAAAATATCACATCTCAGTCTGGTAAAAGGACGAAAACGTGCTGTGGCTTCATGTGCTGAAGCCTGTCTTCTCCATTACAAACTAAAATGGTGTCAAGTGGCAAAAGGTTCAAAGTGGCCATTCGTTGTATACGAAACATACCTCTTTGCTGATGATACGGCGAGGATCAGGTCACAGTGCCTACCAGCTGCTCTTCGGCCTTTTCTGCAAGGATGAAAATTAAGGATGAATTTTAAAACAGAGGTCACAAAGGCCCCCAAACAAGTCCCCTGTGACTTCTGAATGGGTAGAAATGCAGATGTATTAATGAGAAAAACCTGCTATCATGCATTTTATCAATAAAGGTCTCCGCTGAAATGGAATATGCATAAGATGTTATAAAGCAGGAAGAGAGGAGATATAATTTCCACGGTGGAGGAAAGATGAGCTCTACAGTAACCCCATGCCCCTTTAAAGAGCTCCCTGACGTCACGTGACAGGGAGGGGGGCACGCAGCGGGAGAAGAAGAGGAAGCGAGCGGATGTAACCGGAGTGAAGGATGCCCAGGATCATGTCACCGGTTACCTTTCGCTCCCACCACCAGTCCGCGACATGATGAACGCTGGTCCCGGAGCGCTAGTCCGCAGGATGCCGTCGGCAGCCCGGCGGAGCGCCTGCTGGATAGCGTGGTGCCAGGCGGTCCTGCTCGGCGTGTCGGCGCTGGTTATCGTGGCCGAACGGAGCGCTCGTAAGTGGGCAAAGAAATCCTCGCGCGCTACAGTGGGAAGCTAGCTTAAATGTGAAACAACAGAAAACCCAAATGTTTGCTAACATTGTCCTGTTATAGCTATGGAAATTTGCGTTTGCCTCCTGTAATTATTCGAATTTGTTACAATGTTATTACACCGCCATTAGCACTGAAGCCAGGCTGGCTTTGGTGTGTATAGTTAAGCCCAGCTGGCCCCCAGACCTCCAGCTGTTCTCCATCAGTAATCAGAACTGCAGTTATTTTGGATTTACCTTTTATATCTCCAGCTTCAAGAGCAAAGGTTAGGGGGGAATATACGGATCATTATTATTAGCACAGAGACAGATTTACTTAAATTCAAATAATGCTAAGAGTCTGGTTTTTGCAACGGCGTTCTCTCCCCGAATAGGCAGCTCAATGGGCCAAGGTCAGAATGTTGTGTACAAAGTGTAACTTTCTCTCCAGCAGGTACCCTTCCCTTCCCTGAAGATAAAAATAATATGTTGCAGCCAGAATCCCCCCACTGTCAAGATGATTAGAAATACAATAACTTCTGTCTGCATTGGCTTATGTAATCAAAAACACGCCTGCCTACATTATTTCTCAAAGCCAAGATTTGTCTCTCTTTGATGGAGGTTTTATCGTCTCATTAAGACAACTGACCTTTAAAGGTGCAGTATGTAGGACTATAGTGAGAATTTTACAGTGAGAAAATCCTAAAAGAGTCTAACGTCATTTTGGATGGAGGGTTATACTGAAACATGTTTCATTTCCAGCTGGCTGTGGGGATGGTCAGTTTTTCACTTTTCAAAATAAAAGGAGGGACGTAACTAATGTTTACCATCAGTGAGTGTGGGGTTGTTGTGTCTCCTGCGAGCTAATACTGCAGCAGCCGGCAAAAAGCTCCAGAGTTATTTAAAGTGGTTGCAGAAACCAAATTTTACCATAGGATGTCATTTTTACTTCATTTCTACATAATGCACCTTTAAATAAACACTAAATCCACTTGAGGAACATTTATTTGCTTTTACTTTTGTCAACGACCCTCTCTGATGACTTTTGTCGTCCTCACACAAGAATATTAAACTCGGACAGATCCTATTCTGTACATTTGATATGTTAACACTTATATTTAGTATTTTTACCATCTGTCTGCTGTTTGTGGATCAGTTATCTACTGCATAGGGTTTTACCTTTGGAACGACGAGACACAGTGGGCGGCTTTTACACTTGGCCTCTTCCTTCCGGGGACAGCAGTTCAGCTGCTAAGTGTGAAATGGTACTACGACGATGGCGATGACAGGCGCTGCTACCTCTCGGTCATACACATACTACACCTGGGCATCTTCAAAAGGTAAGAGTCTTGTGATTCTAAATAAATAAGGATTTAATGCACAGAGCATTTGCTTGAGATGAATAAATGTATTTTTGCGGCAGATTGTGTGATCGTCTGCGTAGAATGTAAATTATTTTCCCACCATTCTGTCATTGAGTTCTCAATCTATGCTCAGGTGTTTGTCTCCCTCTTCTGGCAGATTGTGGGACTGCATGAGGTCTGTGCTGCATACGCAGGGCTCTGTGGCAGAGCTTGGCGTTGCCGTCATGCAGCAGGCAGATATGGCAGCTCTCTGGTTGCTGGAGGCTCTTATCCTCACGTTGCCTCAGAGCCTTCTACAAGCATATGTTGTAGTGTCTACCGATGTGGGCATTGCATCTCCAGGTAATCTTTGTGCCATTTTAGAGGCGTGTGCGTGCTTTAAACAACGCTCGAGTTGGATTTAAATGTCCAAACGCTTCTGTTTTTACCCCCAGTGGCCTATTGCTGTGGCTTATGTGTGCTGTCTGTTTCCTGGGCCCTGGTGCTGTACAGCCGAGCCTGCTGTCTGATCCGACCGGGCCACTTGGCTATGCCTCCAGCAGCCCTGCTGTGCCAGCTGGTCTGGAGAGCGGGCATGCTGGGTGCCAGGGTGACCTGCCTCATGTTCTTTGCCAGGGTGTTTAACTGGTGGGTCTGTGGAGTAGCAGGTGAGCATGGAGAAGCTGTGATTTCAAGGTTTTCTTGTAATAATAAATTACCCCGACATATCACGTGAAACATATTGAATTAAAAACATTCTTTTAAGTTTTGTATTCAGTGCTGCCGTTTGTCCTTCGGATACAGTTCCCAGCTGCTCCTCAGCATCAGTTCGAAACGCTCGATGTGGATATTCGATTGCACCTCGTAATCTATTTTTGTGTTGACCTCCAGGGTTTCACTGGCTCACAGCCTCCTTCTGGCTGGTGTCACAGCAACCAGACATCTGCAATGGCCACTGGTGCTGGCGCACCTTTAACAGCATTCTGGGGCTCATCCATGTCTTCCTCTTCCTCAACGTCAAAGATGGACCCTCACGCTTTCGCATGGCTAGCTTCTATGCAGTAAGATAGGACACACACACACACACACACACACACACACACACACACACACACACACACACACACACACACAGGTGTACATAAAAGCTTGCACTGTCATCCTCACCTCTGTGTCCGCACCTTTCAGTGATGTTTATCTGTGGATGACTGATCATGTGACCTTCTCCATGACTTTAGTTCATGCTAGTGGAGAACGCCACTCTGCTGCTGGCTGCCTCCGACTTCCTGAGCGAAGCGTCGTGGGACAACATGACCCTTCCCACCTCTGCGCTCTGTAGCTTTGTCCTTGGTGAGTCATTTAGACCGCATTAGCGCGGAAAGGCAGAAACTAGTCAGATTATTACAAGAGTTAGACAGGTGTCTAATTATTTCTGTGGAATCTGAGTGACGAAATGCCAGACGGGATTCGTAAAGATTAAAAATGGTGGAACTTTCTGTACTGAATGTCCTTTAATGTTTGAAATATCATAAACTAAGGTTGGAAATGTAAAAATCTGCACAGCTAAATTTTTGCTGCCTCTGTGCCTTCCAGGGGCAACTTCTTTGGTTCTGTACTACCGGTTCCTCCATCCTAAATCCACAGAGATCTCCCACGGTACAGACCGCCACATGGGCAGCGCGTGCATAGAGCAGGGGGAGTCCTCATTCTCTCTCGGGGACAAAAGTCTGCCGGCTTCTTCCATTCAAAACCACGGCAGCTTCTCCCTCTCGGGTGTGGCTGGGTCTCTGCTGGAACATCCAGGAAACTGTGGAGGCCAGTCTAACAGCTCCTGCCCCTGCTTCCATCACCACTGGCTCTTGATCCGCTTGGCGCTTAAAACCGGAGATCTCAATAAAATCAACAGAGCGTATGGAGCTGGCGGACCGGCTGCCATATTGGGCATGGAGGAGTACAACCAGGATTTTAAAAGTAACGAGGGCATCACTTATACAGCTGCAGGCAGCTGCGAGGGTGTGTCCACCTCTGAGTCTCAGGGGCAGGGCCTGGCGCCCCTTTCAGACTGCAAAGACGAATTCCAGAGTTTAAGCGAGCCCACGTCAACCGAACAACCTGAAGAAGAGGACAGTTTGGAGATGGAGAGCCCGATGGAGTCACCTGCATCAGATTTTAAACGCAGCTCTCCGGAGGGTAAGTCTGTTTTTGGAGACAGCCCAGAGCCTTATTACTGCCCCACCGAGTCAAGTTCCACCTTATACTTCAGCGCAGATCCACAGTCGCCCAGCAGCGCTAGTAACCCACGCTTGGACCGGGACATGGGGGGTCTGGAACATGGGGTTCGGCTCAACTCCATCCCCAGTGATCCAGCCCTTCACAGGGATGTGCGTGGACTCATGGGCCGAGTTGGACCGCGTTGCACCTCCACTCCTAAACTGGACTCGGGAGTGTTGGATTCTCCCTCTAGTGCTCCTCATCTCACAGGTCCTAGGAGGCAGCTCGTAATGTCCCACAGAGACGAAGGCGATACCTTCTAGCATTCTTGTGTCAGAATCAGGAAAATGAGTAAACAGCAGCCTGTCCGACATCTTCTGTTCAGTGTAATAGGATGAGAGTGCCTGCTGGTATTTATTTGGTGTGTTTGGTGCACAGCGTGGCACAGAGAACCTGAAATTATTCTAAAATAACACTTCTCTAACCATAAACCATTTACTAACCACGTTGCTTTACCCAAAAGCTTCACGTGTTGGGCTTTTTTCTAACCAGGTTCCAGTACTAAACCATAGCGAGAGCTTCCTAACGAATCAGAAAGAGCATCGGCAAGCGACTGTTGTTGATAATCAGCGCTGATAAAACAGATCGGTGATATCAGGATGTCTGTTTGCAGGAAAAACAAGACAAACCTGGTGATCCTTTACAGAATCTCCGTTCAACAGGACAAATCAGACTGGAAGACATCTAAAGTGGTTTAGTGCGATGGGTCTGTGGCTGTGAAAGTCTAAACTGTTGTTTTTCATAGGAACCAAAGCCGGTCTAGTACTGGAACCAGTTTGGAGAAAAACAAACGAGGGTTAGGGTTTGGATGCTGGACTAAGACAATTAAAATGCTGAAAGATGGCTTAGATCTGAAATTCAATAAATATTTATGTTATTGTGGCAGAAATATTATTAGGTCTTTGGACGTCTGCTGTGCATTACACAAACACAAGTTCTACTGAAGAAGTGTGTATAAACTGTATTTAAAAACTGCTTAAATATCCTGAAGCTTTCTAATCTCAAGCGACCGACGGTTTCTTTCATAACGGCTGGATATTTGTGATATTGTAATGATTGTAATAATTCATCAGCAGAGAATTTATTCCAAGAGCTGACAGGAGCTAGAGTCTGATCTCTGGCGTGGTTTCAATGTGAGCCAGAGCCTTTTAAAAGCACAAATATCATCTGTATCATATCTATTTGCAGTGACGCTGTGTTTTTACTTATTTATTGTTTTAAAATGTTACGTAAAAAACACCCTTCACTCATCTGATATTAATAAGCTGCATTTCTTGTATGGTTTGAAACTGGCACTGCTATAAGCAAATCCAGCATTTCATCTTAGGAAGACTGATGTTTTTACTTGTTTTATTTACATGTTGATCATGTAAATATAAAAAATAAATCTCCAAAATTAGAAGTATGTTAGAAAAGAAAAGATTTGTCTCAGGCGTTATCTTTAAAAAGCTTTTTCAGTGTCACAAACGATTTAAATGTGGTGATTTTTTGTTGTATTTGTTTCTGATTGCTGTTTCAATGATTTTACTCAGCAGGCAACAAACAAAAAGCAGTGAAACTGCAACCAGGTGACTGCCTAATGAACTGTGAAATAAAGCAAGGCCACGGGTGGCTTGAAATAAGCAATAAACAGCCAACATGTTTGGATGAGTGAAATTAATGAGGGTTTTATTCAAATGCGAAGGAAAATATTAAAGGTGAACAGAACAAGCTAGGTTTTGAGCGCAAACACGATCACGGAATGCTCACCCCTCCCCTCGAGTACCCGGACACCCGCATTTCAAGAGGAAACGTAAAAGCGCTAAACACCAGTTTCCATTTTCGTGGTCCAAACATCTGTCTGTGACTTCAAGTGGTGTTTTACCCTTTCCGACTCTGATAGTTTGTCTTAAAATTGAAGTGGTAGCAGCCGGCTGTTTCTCCTTTGATATTATTGAGTGTAGAACCTCTCACACCAGTGGTATTCTGTTCTGTAGCCAGGGGGGCTGCCAGAGGTTTTGGGCCCCATGAAAAAATATCAAGTTGGGCCCCCTGGGGGCTCGTCCATAGCTGGAGCTGGGGTTCCTCCCTCCCAGATTCGAAGGGAGAAAAAAAAAAAAATATATATATATATATATATATATATATATATACTTTATATTAGTGTTTCAGTTTTGTTTAATTATGTAGGTCTACATGCATTCTTACTTATTTACGTATCATTTTCATCACCTGTATCTGTCATTAAACAGTGAATTTCCTTCAACAGAATTAGCAATATCACTGCTGGAATAAGCAGGAAATGCACATGCTGAAATGTGTTAATCTCCTTTTCCCTTTTACTCCCTTAAAATGTTTATTTATTCTAAAAATTTATTTGATGATAAAATTCAAATTTGGATATCTAATTACATTTCCATGTTGTGTCAAAGCTTTACATAACTACATTTTTAGCTGTCTTTCCTCTTGAAATCAAGTTTTTCTGTATGACTGACAAAAATTAAGGATTCACTGCTCATAAGGTAACTTTATTAAGTCTCCATGGCTTCATCATAGACACAAAATGAATAAGCACACAGTTCAAACCGGAGTCAGTTAGGGTTACATAAAATTTTAAAGTTGGACAACTTTGCATGAATACGTATATAAGTCTCTAGAAACCCATTTTTCTCAACAACAAAAAACAGCTAAAAATATATTCAGCCTTGATTGTACACAGCGAGATTTATTATTTACAATGATATAATTAATAATGCTCGATAACGATCAATACTAGATTTCATATTTTATTGTGTTCAATGTTATATTAAGTTTATTTATTACAATTGTTAATAGCTTTTGTTTCAGTTTTGCTCTCTGATGAATTATTTGGAAATTATTGATTTTGGTTTGTGTTCTAAAAGCTACATGAACAAATTACATCTTGTAAAACCTCCCATAATTTAGTCAGATTCAAAACATTTCATTTCAAGGTATAGTAGATGAAGAGGGTTTTTTTTCTTGTATGGTGCCTTCAAAAAGGTACTTCACAGTAATAATCTCACAGTAATTTATGTTACATTAACAGACTAAATAACAATGCTTCAACCTGCCCAGCATCCAAAACAATTTTTACTGATTAATATATATAATTATCATTATGTGGAAAAATGTGTTTATCACCAAATATAGCCTTTTTATATTCCTTTGTAACAGTACTGATAGAGAAGAGAGCCTTAAGTGATTCCCACAGGCTACATTGCTCACCTTCTTGAGGTTCATTGGGTTGTGAGGGGACACCTGCTGACATATCATCAGCTGCTGATTCTATAGGGACAAGGACAACAACCCATATACCACAATTAGATGAAACAGTTCCTCTCATTGTGGATATCAGAGCTAGCAAACAGGTTGAATTTAACCAATCACTAACTAAACCCACCTTTCTTTGAGAAAAACTGTGTGACATACTGACGCCCTGTCTTCTGCCTGTCCTTTTCTCTCTTTCTGGATATTCGACAGACATTGGTTTACACGGTCACCGAAAAGTCTTCATGCCGTGCACTGCGGCACAGACAGCGGTTAGCTGAGGTCTGAGGACTCGGTAATAGGAACGGTGGTTCGCTTAGGGACTATCAACAAATTTGTAGTCCTTTGTAAACGAGTACAAAAACAATTAAAAACTTCCAGAATAATTTCCTAAATGACTCAAATTACTTCTGGCTCGTGTTACTAAACTACATTTACAAGACACAACAGTTTTAACACATTTCACACAATCTGATCTTTTTTATTAGGATTTTATTCCTAAATTAAGATACTTTTTTCAAAAGCTCCTAGGTAAATCAGTCTAAATCCACAAAAGCATTTCTCAATTGTATTGCTAAGCCACACCAATGAGACACAGCAGTTTATAACAACTTTCATACAACCTGATCTTTTTTATTAGGATTTTATAAAAAATTAAGAGATTTTTTTCAATAGCCCCTAGGTAAATTAGTCAAAGTCCAACTTCAAGCTAACTTCACCATGGTGGGAAGTGTGGCGGTATGGCCAGACCAACAACCAGATGGTCCAATGGTTGCTTCTGGTTCGAAAGGTGTTACTAGTGCAGGTGTTGAGACAAATGCGAGATAAACACTTCATTTTATTTACCTTCACAATATATTTATAGCTATAATATGTTAGAAAGTTTGTTAAGAGGCATGAAAAAATATTTTCCAAATTTGCCATCATAGCTTTAATGGTGCAATCAATTTGTCCTCGGAACTTGGAAACCCTGACTTCCGTAAAAGAAAAATCAAATTAAATGCGTTTAAAATCAATGTTACATGTAGCACTTGCAACTAAAAGCTTCACTCAAAGTATTTTTGAATATGAGCTTCATATTTGTTTATTAGTCGTCTGTGTTTGTTGAGAACAAACAAAACAGCAGTTTTTGAGGGCGACTACGACAACCAGAGCGTAACTCGGGTGTGACATCATTCCCAGTTCCAACCTCCGAGGCAAATCGAACGCTCCATAAGGACTGCTGATCATCCTTTGAAACTTGGGTATTTCAGGCTGACAATATCTGTCTTTTGATTTTTGATTGGGAGAATTCCAAATCAAATCCAGCGCAAGGCCCTTTAAAACCTTGGACCACCTCTGAATAATTCCTGTTAGACAAAAATAACCTGTTTGGTAAATGGCCTTAAAATGGCAATGGACAGCTCCTTCAGAGGCAGACTGAGACATCCCAGATGCAAAACAGAACGCTACCACAGGTCATTCATGCCCTCTGCAGTAAGAGTGTCTAACTCCTCAGTTTAACTGGTACTGGCATTATCCTAGTACTCACTAACATCAATGCAATACTCAGTATGTGCTCTGCAATACCAGATTTACATAGTATGTCTGTGTTCCTTACAGTATGCCGCATAGTTCTAGAACCCACGTTTTTTTTTTCATTTTTATTTGTGGTTACAAATGATACAATAATACAATAATAGCTTACTGCTCATGTGTATATACATGTACATTTGCTATTATTTTTCTTCAAAATTTTCTCTGTTTCTGCTGCTGTAACAAATGAATTTCCCCACCGTGGGATCAATAGTTTATTCTATTCTATTCACTGTGGGATCAATAGTTAATTCTATTCACCGTGGGATCAATAGTTTATTCTATTCACCGTGGGAACAATAGTTTATTCTATTCACCGTGGGATCAATAGTTTATTCTATTCACTGTGGGATCAATAGTTAATTCTATTCACCGTGGGATCAATAGTTTATTCTATTCACCGTGGGAACAATAGTTTATTCTATTCACCGTGGGATCAATAGTTTATTCTATTCACCGTGGGATCAATAGTCTATTCTATTCACCGTGGGATCAATAGCTTATTCTATTCATCGTGGGATCAATAGTATATTCTATTCACCGTGGGATCAATAGTCTATTCTATTCACCGTGGGATCAATAGTTTATTCTATTCACCGTGGGATCAATAGTCTATTCTATTCACCGTAGGATCAATAGTCTATTCTATTCACCGTGGGATCAATAGTCTATTCTATTCACCGCGGGATCAATAGTTTATTCTATTCACCGCGGGATCAATAGTCTATTCTATTCACCATAGGATCAATAGTTTATTCTATTCACCGTGGGATCAATAGTTTATTCTATTCACCGCGGGATCGATAGTCTATTCTATTCACCGTGGGATCAATAGTCTATTCTATTCACCATGGGATCAATAATCTATTCTATTCACCGTGGGATCAATAGTCTATTCTATTCACCGTGGGATCAATAGTCTATTCTATTCACCGTGGGATCAATAGTTTATTCTATTCACTGCGGGATCAATAGTCTATTCTATTCACAGTGGGATCAATAGTCTATTCTATTCACTCTGGGATCAATAGTTTATTCTATTCACTGCGGGATCAATAGTCTATTCTATTCACAGTGGGATCAATAGTCTATTCTATTCACCGTGAGATCAATAGTTTATTCTATTCACCGCGGGATCAATAGTCTATTCTATTCACCGTGGGATCAATAGTCTATTCTATTCACCGTGGGATCAATAGTCTATTCTATTCATCGCTGGATCAATAATCTATTCTATTCACCGTGGGATCAATAGTTTATTCTATTCACCTAGGGATCAATAGTCTATTCTATTTACCGTGGGATCAATAGTCTATTCTATTCCCCGCGGGATCAACAGTTTATTCTATTCACCGTGGGATCAATAGTCTATTCTATTCACCGTGGGATCAATAGTCTATTCTATTCACAGTGGGATCAATAGTTTATTCTATTCACCGTGGGATCAATAGTCTATTCTATTCACCGCGGGATCAATAGTCTATTCTATTCACCGTGGGATCAATAGTTTATTCTATTCACAGTGGGATCAATAGTTTATTCTATTCACCGTGGGATCAATAGTCTATTCTATTCACCGCGGGATCAATAATCTATTCTATTCACCGTGGGATCAATAGTCTATTCTATTCACCGTGGGATCAATAGTCTATTCTATTCACCGCGGGATCAATAGTCTATTCTATTCACCGTGGGATCAATAGTCTATTCTATTCACCGCGGGATCAATAGTCTATTCTATTCACCGCGGGATCAATAGTTTATTCTATTCACCGTGGGATCAATAGTCTATTCTATTCACCGCGGGATCAATAGTCTATTCTATTCACCGTGGGATCAATAGTTTATTCTATTCACAGTGGGATCAATAGTTTATTCTATTCACAGTGGGATCAATAGTCTATTCTATTCACCGTGAGATCAATAGTTTATTCTATTCACCGCGGGATCAATAGTCTATTCTATTCACCGTGGGATCAATAGTCTATTCTATTCACCGTGGGATCAATAGTCTATTCTATTCACCGCGGGATCAATAGTCTATTCTATTCACCGTGGGATCAATAGTCTATTCTATTCACCGCGGGATCAATAGTCTATTCTATTCACCGCGGGATCAATAGTTTATTCTATTCACCGTGGGATCAATAGTCTATTCTATTCACTGCGGGATCAATAGTCTATTCTATTCACCGTGGGATCAATAGTTTATTCTATTCACAGTGGGATCAATAGTTTATTCTATTCACCGTGGGATCAATAGTCTATTCTATTCACCGTGGGATCAATAGTTTATTCTATTCACAGTGGGATCAATAGTTTATTCTATTCACCGTGGGATCAATAGTCTATTCTATTCACCGCGGGATCAATAATCTATTCTATTCACAGTGGGATCAATAGTCTATTCTATTCACCGTGGGATCAATAGTCTATTCTATTCACCGCGGGATCAATAGTCTATTCTATTCACTGTGGGATCAATAGTCTATTCTATTCACCGCGGGATCAATAGTCTATTCTATTCACCGCGGGATCAATAGTTTATTCTATTCACCGTGGGATCAATAGTCTATTCTATTCACCGCGGGATCAATAGTCTATTCTATTCACTGTGGGATCAATAGTTTAATCTATTCACAGTGGGATCAATAGTTTATTCTATTCACCGTGGGATCAATAGTCTATTCTATTCACCGTGGGATCTATTCTATTCTAAAAGTATTTACGGCGCTTGCCCTTTAAGAGCAAGCGCATGCGCACAGCCCCGATAAAAGTTAACTCCTCAACTTCGTAGGCAGAAAAAAAAATCTCTGATTTTAAATTCACTGAGTTGACATGGCATTTCGCCGAAGGAACAAGAGTTATCCCTTCTTCAGCCAAGAGTTTCTAATTCAAAACCATGCCGACATCGTCTTCAGTTTGGTGATTTTCATTCTGATTGGATTGATGTTTGAGGTGAGATCAACTCTGATTGCTTTTTTCTCCCTTTTTCTTCAACAGCTCTAACTCAGTTGTGTTATCTCACGTACTGGTTTCGCTTGAAACGCTAATCGGGCGGATCTTTTCAGTTAATATGTTAGTTTTAATCCTCAATCAGTTCAAAGGATACGACTTTTGCTTTCTTTAGTTGCAAGTTTAGGAAACTCATAATGTTGCTCTCAATCATCAAGTACTGACACTCATTTAAACTGTCCTGCAAGCTCATAAAGTTTATTCTTCCAACTAAATAAACCTTCTTTATCTTCATAAAATTAAAATTTCGTCCCTTTCTATAAAAATTGTTCAGATTCTTACAAAGTATCTGCTGTTTCCATTCCAAACTTTGTCAGCTACAGAATACCAGAATCAACCGGAAAACAACATATTTTACCTTCAGAGTAAAAGCTCCACCGCTACTTGGGTTGTAGATTTTCTTACCACTTTGTTTTACTTTGAAGGGCCGTAGCGGAAATGCTTTGGCTTGGGTGCTAATTTGATGCAACGTTACTGCCACGTCTCAATCTTTTAGCTGTTACTTGCTCCTGACCACTCGGGGATCAGCCTAGATCCGCTTTGACCAGGAGACATCACAGCATAAGTCCGTTTCTGAATGAATTAAATGTTTCGTTTCTACAGCGTGTGTTTAAAAACTCACTGTGAACATGTGAAGTTTCAATCCGGAACCTTTGATCGAGAGTACACAGCTGGCCGGGTTGAGAAGTTCTAGGGGGATTTCCTACCTTGTTTCTAGTTTCTTAAAATGAACAGCACTATAGACTCAAATTACAATTTATTATTTAGTTTGTCAGCAATCTAAAACAAACAAACAAAAGAATGACAAATCTACAAATATTGTAATTTATTATGGTCAAACTAATGGCAAAGTATGGAAACTCTTAAAAACGTTTTCCTCAGGATGAAATATAACCAGATTTATTTGGGTAGTTGCAGATTAAGGCCGCTAACTGTTGCACAAATTCACTCCTCCAGTTTCAGCCTTTAACATGAGGATTTTCTGCTTTTGGGTTATTGACACAATTAACCTTTGGGTGCCCCATACATTATTAGATAGAAAGATTATGAGTTTAGCAAGAAGACATGCGTGTTATTCCCTTGAGCATGGCAAAATATTAGTTGATGATATTGCTTTTGTTATATCAGCAGCCAAAATCTAAATTGAAGTGACGTTTCATTAATTACGCAGCCCTGTATTAATTTTTGACTCGCCTCTCTTGGTCTAAATTAAATTATTGTCCTCTGTTGCTTCAGAGACAATCTTCTAATCTCGTCGTTGGATATAAAATGATTCTTAAGGAAACAATTGCAAACTCCTCACAGAAAAAAAGTAGTTCATGCTCACCTTTTGGAATTTAGCTTCTCGGTCTTTTTTCCCCTGTTGCACACATCAGTGGCACACCTGCTTCATCTAATCTGTTTGTTGACATTGCATTTAGAAAACTGCTGCATTTTAATTTTCCCTATATTTTATTTTCTTGCTATTTACAGGCAACTGCAAAGACGGCCATATTGTTCATTCAGCCTCAGTACAACATTACTACATTATCACAAGGTAGGAGCTGAATTATTAATGTAAATTCACTATGCAGCCACTTAGAAATGTTTTATAAAAGTTAACCATTTGTTTACCAAAGCTGATCAGTTGGTGCTTTGCATGTTTTCCCCCCTCCTATTTATATTCAGAAGGAGAGGTGACTACGTATCAATATGGATGGAAGGACTGCGCCACCATCCTCTTCTATTTCTTCATCACCCTTATCCTCCACGCTGTAGTCCAGGAATATCTATTGGATGTAAGCTATTATATATATATATATATATATATATATATATATATATATATATATATATATATATATATATATATATATATATATATATATATATATATATTTTTTTTTTTTTAATCTATTTATTTATTTTTTTTTTTTTTTGCTGAGGCCGATATGTAGAGGTCATAGCCAGCTGATGGCTGATATGTGCTGACGATTTCTTTGGCCAATTTTCATGGCTGATATTTAGACGTTTCTCATCTTATTTTCATGCTAAAATGTCAAATATTATCAGCTGATGCACTTATTTTCTGAAGCGTAATTAGTTTTCGAACACTGAATTTAACCAACTGTTAAATCTTAATTTTGTGCACTGCTCAGTGTTGAAATTAAAGTTAATCAAACAAATCAATGAAATTATCAAGTATAAAAAAACCTCAAAATTGTGAATTGAAAAATTTTTGTAAAAATTTTTTTTTTACAGCATTTCTTTTGCAGATGCATTTCAGGAACGTAAATATATATTTAAACTAAATTCTGCAGCAGCACCGGGCAGCTCGGGAATGTGCCTGACTTTAAATCGGCTTTAGTAAGGAGGTAAATCAGCCGATGCTGATATATAAAATATGATAAATATCGGTCGACCGATCTACCCCTAAAATGATTGCTGGGATAAAATGAGGGAAATACTTTTTAATTGGCTTTTAATCAATGTATTGCTCTCGTTGAATTGTTGCAAACATTTTACACTCAAACCAGGAAGCAACCCGTTTCATCTTGCAGTTTTGGTATTCAAATGAACCAAGTGGAACATTTTGAGTCACTCTACTTACCGTAAATAAAATAATATTCAAAGCTCAATTTAAAAAAAATGGTGGAGGAGGAACATATTTTGAGAAATGAGCTTTTGGAACGGTATTTCCAGCAGGAGCCAGAAATAGTGTCTCTCTTGGCGTCCTTTATTTGTTACAGTAACACTTCCTTGTGCACAATAATGATTCCCGTCACACATTGCAAAAGGATCGAGTGTCACACGATCTGCTGCTTTGTTCTGGTTACAGAAAGTGAACCGACGCCTTCATCTCTCCAAGAGCAAGAATACCAAGTTCAATGAGTCAGGCCAGCTGTGCGTGTTTCACTTGGTGTCGAGTGTGTGGAGTTTCTACATCCTCATTACAGTGAGTGAGATTTTCACACCATTATTCAGCCACACGATCGCTCCATTTTTTAAATTGTTCTGTATTTTTTTTTTAAAGCCACTAAATTTATATTTTTTTATTCCATTTTTTCTCACAGGAAGGATATCTCCTTCATCCCAGTAGCCTTTGGGAGAACTACCCTCATACACATCTCAGGTGTGTTATAATGTGACATAAAATAATTTTAAATTACGAGGATCATTTTTATTGATCCTAGGACTCATCCGTGCATTTTCTAGCAGATAAGTTGTATAATAATATTTACCATTGTGTCTGTGCTTCTTTGTTCTTCAGGTTTCAGGTGAAGCTTTTCTACCTCACTCAGCTGGCTTACTGGCTCCACGCTTTGCCGGAGCTTTACTTCCAGAAAGTTCGCAAGGTTAGTTGGGAGGCCCTAGGAACTGGAGGAATTCTTGGAGTGGGACTAGATAAGATTTGTTTATATTTCAGCCTCTTTTTTTTTTTTTTTTTTGGAAGGTCTTGTAAAGATTCTGCATGTCTGACACTTAAATGAGGCTTTAGGATTAAAAACAGTGATGCTTTTGTCTCGTTTCAGGAGGAGATTCCTCGTCAGCTCCAGTACATCAGCCTTTATCTGCTGCACATCTCTGCAGCGTATTTGCTAAAGTAAGCATCTAGAAGATTAATGAACCCATCTCACTGCATTACCTAAATGACTTCTCCTTTCCATTAAATTTCATGTAATATCTGGTTTTCTCTGGTGCAGTTTGAGCCGTGTGGGTCTGGTGCTCGTCTTCCTCCAGTATGTGTCGGAGCTGGGCTTCCACATCGCCAGACTCTTGTATTTTACTGATGAGAGCCATCAGAAAATGTACGTGACTGAAGCAGATCTTTAATAGTTTCAGTTGTATTTATTTCCTGTAGAAATGCAACGAAACGTGTTTTTACTTGAGCTGATGAGGTGAAGTGCACTGCTCTGCCTCAGGTTCGATCTGTGGGCGGTGAGCTTCGTTTTTACGAGGATGGCCACGCTGACCTTGATGTTCCTCGCTGTGGGCTTTGGTTTGGCTCGTGCTGAGAATCAGGGCTTGGACCTGGAGATGGGCAACTTCAACACCGTTCTGATAAGGTGAGGCACGACTCATCTGTGCACTTTATGATGCACTTTGAGCCCATAAAGTGCCATTTCTTTTGTTGCAATAATCTTTTGGATTGATTTTTGTTTACAGTTTCAAAGAAATGCATTTTAAAATCGATTCAAACGCCCCATTTGGTAAACAAAGTGTAAATCTTTAAGAGTTTGTGGGCTTATTTACGCGATTTTTAAAGGTGTGGATCACGTGGTTAATCAATACATTTGCATTGGTCTGTAGAAGGAATGAATGCCTTGGAAGTCGTACTCTGGGGAAACAAAGTTCCGGTGCACCATGTTCGGGAAGTAGAAGTGAGCCATATCTGAGCTGAGCTTCAGAAATCAGGATTTGGAGTCTTACTTCCTAGTTTTTGGACATCTCACCTCGGATTGGATAACAGCAATGCAACACTGATGTTTTATCTCCACAAATAACAGAAGCCTGAGGGAATTCTGCTGTGTGGTGGAGTTGCTAATGCTAACGGTTAGCTTCAAATCATAGATTTCACTGTCTATTTTCTGTCAGAAGCTAATGCAGGAGAAAGGTGTAGAAGACTATTTTCATGTTTAGCCTGCATGAAAAAACTCAGTGACTGTTTGTTTCTCATCAGAAAAAAAAACATTAAAAAAACGTTTTTTCAGTGAACCACACCTTTGAAGGAAGGGCCAATGATGAAAAAGATGTTCAAGCGAGCTACAATTTGAAAAAAAATAAAATAAAAAAAATTACCCACAAATCAAAGGTCCAACTCTCTTCCATTGGGCTTCCCCACTAGGCCACGCCTCCAGAATACAGGAGAAAACATAGTAAAGCATGAAGTTATCTTTCCTTTTTAACCCATTGTTGTCACTTTCAGTCTAATCTAATCAACACAACTCATCAGGGGATGGAGAGGCGGGGTACCCAGAGTAGTTTCGGCTCGTTACATAACAGACAGCTACAGCTGATAAGCTTGACTCTTCCATATTCCAGTTAGAACTGACAAAGCTCCTCGGATGAGAAGTGAAACAATCAATCAAAGCTTTATTTATAAAGCGCCTTCCGCAACCCTGTTAGGAAGCCCAAGGCGCTGAACATGGTACAGTACAAAGTTAAAGAAAGTGAATAAATCAGAAAATAAAAGCAATTCAAATTACAGATTACAAATTACAAAAAAGGTGAAACATTCTAGTAGAAGACAAATGTGTATAACAAGGGAAAAAGTGAATCAATGAAAACTGTGAGATAAAATCAACATAAAAGAGGACCAAATTCAAACATGTTCAGGAAACGCCAAGCGGAGGAGGTGGGTTTTTAGGCGACTCTTGAAGACTGGCAGAGATGGGGACAGCCTAACTGAGGGTGGCAACTGGTTCCAGAGTGACGGTGCTAGGAATGAGAAAGCCCGGTCCCCGCGAGTACGACTCCTAGAACGAGGGACAACGAGCAGGCCTTGGTCAGAGGAGCGCAGAGCGCGTGATGGGCAATGTCTGTTCAGGAGCGTGGCCAGATAGGGGGGAGCACCACCCTGGAAGAAATTAAAAACAAAGACGAGGAGTCTGAAGTGTGAACGATAGCAAACCGGAAGCCAGTGCAGGGAGGCCAGAACCGGACTGATGTGGTCCCGTTTCCTGGTCCCAGTCAGGAACCTAGCTGCGCTGTTCTGCACAACCTGTCTTCAACGTCTTCAAGAAACCTAAGTCCAGTTTCCTTCATTTGAACCCTTTGGATTACCATGACCTGGATGACTGAGAACCTTCACCAGCGTTCGCTTTCTTCTAGTCGGAATTTCGGAGTTCCAAGGAGAAAGCGAGCGCACCATTAGCTGAACGGAAGCTAACATATGAAGCTACCGTTATCTTAAACATTTTATTTATCTACCAGAGCAGATTAAGATGATGATGCCTCACTTAGATCGTTGTTGCTGGTGTCATCATCACCCAGTTACCCATCCCGATTAGTGAAGTAGACCCAAACTTCAGAACGCGTCCTCTCTGCCATGCTGCTTTAACAGCTCGCCCACAGAGACCAACGACATTACGTTCTTGCGCCGGCGTGCGGCGCGGGTACTGAAAAAAAAGCACAGTTTCATATGACGTGAATCCGTTCTCAGTCGGTACTGTGAAATCCAGTCGGTGCCTTAAAAAGGACCGTCTTCGGTACTCATCCCTAGGTGTGTGCAGAGAATAGAGGGGCGATCAGAGGGCGGTTTGATTGATGAACCAGGATCCAATCATTAAGAACGGGACTTTAAAATGATTCGATGAGGTTTTTCCAGGATCGTACATTTCAGAGACGATTACAAATATTCCTTTTTTTTTTTGTCCAAACGTTAACTTTAGTTGTCGCATCAGTATGTGAAAAGCTTTTCAAGCAATATGACAAAAAGCTCCAGAAAAACCTCTCCTGCTACAACCTTATGTCCATAATGTCAGGCCTATTTAGTGAAACCATTTCTAAATAAAGGCTGGCATTAACCACTTTGAACTGTTTTCAGGATGACCGTTCTACTGCTGGTGTGCTTGACTCAATCTTGGCTCCTCTGGAAGTTTATCCGCTTCCAGCTGAGGCGCTGGAGGGAGTTCAGGCACGAACAGGCCGTCCGCAAGAAGGGCAATTCAAAGCAACCCTTGCGGCCGCTAAAGAGAGACTCACGTGAGTTTTGCCACTTACGTTGTATCTTAATGAACTGCTTGATCTTGACTTCTCCATCCCGTGTCTCCTTGCCAGCTGGTTACCATGAAAATGGAGTGCTTAAAGCTGAGAATGGAGTTTCTCCTCGGACAAAGAAGCTCAAATCCCCCTAAGAAGGTGAACTAAACGACCGTTAGCCCCCGACTGAAGCTTCTCATCAGTGAAGCCAGCGGCCCGCTGGCCACCAAGCTTTTGGCCGGGAACTTTCTGTGATGTCACAGGCACTCGGTCACAACAGACTTAAGCTTGAGCGCTGGATAATGAAATCCAAGGAAATCCTTAGAGCCCAACAGACATTTACTCCTTTTTCTCATTGTATCAGTATTTTTTATACATCTATGTTGCCTGAGATCCCACCCTAAAGGCACTGGAATTATTCAAACTGTGCATCGCACATGTTTCCGCACGTTTCCATGTTGAATGTGTTTACTCACATTCTCAAACAGAAGTACTGTACTGGCCGGCTTTGCTTGCTTCCCCGTGCTGGTCCACTGGACCGTGGAAGCATTACTGGTGACATGAACTAACTGGTAAGTTACACATTCGTCACCGGCCCCTTAGCAGATTTCCATCATATATGTTGTATATCACTGCATGTCATTCCATGTTTTGTTTTGGTTCTCTTCTTAAATGTCTTCAATAAAATGACTTTCTGAAGCAAGTTGTTGGAGTATCTGGAGTATCTAAGCGTTTTGTTTTTGGGTCAGATGTGTTTTTAGGAAGAAAAGCATCTAAAAGTGATGCTATTAGTATAGCGCCAATAATAAAGCACAACTGGGGCTACTGACAGGGTGAGATTGCTGTCTTTATAATCATTTCCAGATTTATCATAAAACAGATTTGTCAAATATTAAAAATTTAATAATAATACATTTTATTTAAAAGTGCCTTTCAGAACACCCAAGGTCACTTGACAGAAAACGCGTAATAAAATACAATAAAACAATAATAAAACCCAAACAAGAAAAAAAAAACAGAAACAGTTCAATAAAATCAGAGGTTGTAGGCAGATTTAAACATATGTGTTTTGAGTTTTGTTTTGAAAAGGGCAAAACTGTCGATGTTCCTGATGTCTGGGGGAAGTGAGTTCCAGAGACAAGGAGCAGAGTGGCTGAAAGCTCTGCTCCCCCCCATTTGGTATTAATGGGATGTTACATATATGTCAAAGTGGACTATGTTACACAATTTCAAACCTCAGCAACAGTATCAAATCAACATAACAGCATTAATTATGCAGAAATATTTAAAATATGTTAAAAATACTATACAAAATTTAACTGTAACTAACTATATAATTGTATGGCAATGTGGAGGTTTATAAAATAATAAATGGTTGACATTTTGGAGTCTCTTTTTACTTTTTAGTTGCTGAAATAAAGTGATTATAGTTAATCTGGATATAGGTTTTGTTGCAGGTAAGTAGTCTTAAATGTTCTTTAATGAGATGTCCTTTGGAACATACTACAATTGTACTTGCAACAGCCAGTATAAATCCATAAAATATACAAAACATTAACAAGTAACAATCCTGCACAAAATAGCATTCTTGTTATGTGCCTGTTCTCCTCCAACTGCATGTTAAAGTTGTAAAGGTCACCAGATGTGCTCGTTTTATTGCTGCAGTGACTTGGAAACAAGGACTTTCCTTTACCTTGAGGCGTCATTTTAACCGGGGACGCCGGGGACATGTCCCCGGCAAAATTTGTGATTGGCAGCTGTGTCCCCCCCACTTTCAAAAACGCCTGCTGATGAGGATTTTTGTTTTACCAGCTCAGATCTTATACCAGGGGTCGGCAACCTATTCCCATCAAAGAGCCATTATTACCCGTTTCCCACAGTAATTCTGGACGGACCTTAATAAGCAGTGACTTAAGTGAAGCAGGCAGGTCGCGCTAGAAAATTTAGTTTAAAAAGGCGTCATAAATGTGTTCCCCCGTCATTTTTATTTATAAAATATGAAGTAAAAACTCACAATTTAATTTTCATTCATTTGTCATTAATATTTAGTTAAGTGGACCATCTTCCAGTAAACGCAAAGCATCCAGTCCACCTCTCCAAATGCGTAAAATGTGCATCAGCCGTTAGGCGCGTCGCGCGCACCGTCAGCTGATCAGCCCAGACAAGAGCAGAGCAAATAGAGAAAGAATAGAGGATAATTGTGTCTGGATGTGGATGGAGATTACATTTTACAGCAGCCTGATCATCATTTAAATACGTAAACCATCACCTGGCTTCTAGTCCACGCTATCAGCATTATTTTAATTGTTGTGTGTGTGTGTGTGTGTGTGTGTGTGTGTGTGTGTGTGTGTGTGTGTGTGTGTGTGTGTGTGTGTGTGCTAGGAACATTCCACCTGCCGTGGCCCGACCGCTTCTGCTCCACATAAACTTTGTGCGTGATCAAATGTCTCTACGCTTCATGCGTCTCCATATTAGAGACGGGAACAAGCGCTGTTCAGCCAAAGTTTCATAATTTCATAAAAAGAACATTTTTCCAAGTGACACATCCCTCAGAGAGACCGGGTTTCCAGAACGCTTCAGTGGGGGGAAATCTTATCGCATTTATCCGTCAATATGTGGCAAGGTGGAGAAACGAGGGCCCGGGCGGGATTAGATCCCCAGACTCCCACCGCGGTCAAGTGAGCCGACAATTGTGAGCCGCGGTCAAGCCAGCCGCATCTTATCCGCCGCGAAAATTTCATTGCGCGTTTACAACGGTCTTTGCGGTACGGCATTTTGAACAGGGAACTGCCCAACTCGTGACAGTCTGGTTGCATATTCAAAAATTCATAAAAAATCATCCTTCATAGCTGATGTACAAGTTTCACCACATTATGATTCTGGGACACCCACTGTACCTGTGTGCCACATTTCAGACAGATTTACTGTAGCAATCCTCAGATATTACAGCAAACTTGTATGCAGTCCACACTTGTGACAGTCATGTTGCATAATCAAAAATTCATAAAAAATCATCCTTCATAGCTGATGTACAACTTTCACCACATCCTTACTCTGGAACACCCACTGTACCTGTGTGCCAAATTTCACACAGATTTACTGTAGAAATCTTCAGATATTAAAGAAAACTTGTATTCAGTCCACACTCGTGACAGTCAGGTTGCATATTCAAAAATTCATAAAAAATCATCCTTCATAGCTGATGTACAACTTTCACCACATCCTTCCTCTGGAACACCCACTGTACCTGTGAGCCACATTTCAGACAGATTTACTGTAGAAATCTTAAGATATTACAGCAAACTTGTGTTCAGTCCACACTCGTGACAGTCTGGTTGCATAATCAAAAATTCATAAAAAATCATCCTTCATAGCTGATGTACAACTTTCACCACATCCTTCCTCTGGAACACCCACTGTACCTGTGTGCCACATTTCACACAGATTTACTGTAGAAATGTTCAGATATTAAAGAAAACTTGTATTCAGTCCACACTCGTGACAGTCAGGTTGCATATTCAAAAATTCATAAAAAATCATCCTTCATAGCTGATGTACAACTTTCACCGCATCCTTCCTCTGGAACACCCACTGTACCTGTGTGCCACATTTCAGACAGATTTACTGTAGAAATCTTCAGATTTTAAAGAAAACTTGTATTCAGTCCACACTCGTGACAGTCTGGTTGCATATTCAAAAATTCATAAAAAATCATCCTTCATAGCTGATGTACAAGTTTCACCACATCCTTACTCTGGAACACCCACTCTACCTGTGTGCCACATTTCAGACAGATTTACTGTAGAAATCTTCAGATATTACAGAAAACTTGTATTCAGTCCACACTCGTGACAGTCTGGTTAATATTCAAAAATTCATAAAAAATCATCCTTCATAGCTGATGTACAACTTTCACCACATCCTTACTCTGGAACACCCACTCTACCTGTGTGCCACATTTCAGACAGATTTATTGTAGAAATCTTCAGATTTTAAAGAAAACTTGTATTCAGTCCACACTCGTGACAGTCTGGTTAATATTCAAAAATTCATAAAAAATCATCCTTCATAGCTGATGTACAACTTTCACCACATCCTTACTCTGGAACACCCACTCTACCTGTGTGCCACATTTCAGACAGATTTACTGTAGAAATCTTCAGATATTACAGAAAACTTGTATTCAGTCCACACTCGTGACAGTCTGGTTAATATTCAAAAATTCATAAAAAATCATCCATCATAGCTGATGTACAACTTTCACCACATCCTTACTCTGGAACACCCACTGTACCTGTGTGCCACATTTCAGACAGATTTACTGTAGAAATCTTCAGATATTACAGAAAACTTGTATTCAGTCCACACTAGTGACAGTCTGGTTAATATTCAAAAATTCATAAAAAATCATCCGTCATAGCTGATGTACAACTTTCACCACATCCTTACTCTGGAACACCCACTCTACCTGTGTGCCACATTTCAGACAGATTTACTGTAGAAATCTTCAGATATTACAGAAAACTTGTATTCAGTCCACACTCGTGACAGTCTGGTTAATATTCAAAAACTCATAAAAAATCATCCTTCATAGCTGATGTACAACTTTCACCACATCCTTACTCTGGAACACCCACTGTACCTGTGTGCCACATTTCAGACAGATTTACTGTAGAAATCTTCAGATATTACAGAAAACTTGTATTCAGTCCACACTAGTGACAGTCTGGTTAATATTCAAAAATTCATAAAAAATCATCCGTCATAGCTGATGTACAACTTTCACCACATCCTTACTCTGGAACACCCACTGTACCTGTGTGCCACATTTCAGACAGATTTACTGTAGAAATCTTCAGATATTACAGAAAACTTGTATTCAGTCCACACTAGTGACAGTCTGGTTAATATTCAAAAATTCATAAAAAATCATCCGTCATAGCTGATGTACAACTTTCACCACATCCTTACTCTGGAACACCCACTGTACCTGTGTGTCACATTTCACACAGATTTACTGTAGAAATCTTCAGATTTTAAAGAAAACTTGTATTCAGTCCACACTCGTGACAGTCTGGTTAATATTCAAAAATTCATAAAAAATCATCCGTCATAGCTGATGTACAACTTTCACCACATCCTTACTCTGGAACACCCACTGTACCTGTGTGCCACATTTCAGACAGATTTACTGTAGAAATCTTCAGATTTTAAAGAAAACTTGTATTCAGTCCACACTCGTGACAGTCAGGTTGCATATTCAAAAATTCATAAAAAATCATCCGTCATAGCTGATGTACAACTTTCACCACATCCTTACTCTGGAACACCCACTGTACCTGTGAGCCACATTTCAGACAGATTTACTGTAGAAATCTTCAGATTTTAAAGAAAACTTGTATTCAGTCCACACTCGTGACAGTCTGGTTGCATATTCAAAAATTCATAAAAAATCATCCTTCATAGCTGATGTACAACTTTCACCACATCCTTCCTCTGGAACACCCACTGTACCTGTGTGCCACATTTCACACAGATTTACTGTAGAAATGTTCAGATATTAAAGAAAACTTGTATTCAGTCCACACTCGTGACAGTCAGGTTGCATATTCAAAAATTCATAAAAAATCATCCTTCATAGCTGATGTACAAGTTTCACCACATCCTTCCTCTGGAACACCCACTGTACCTGTGAGCCACATTTCAGACAGATTTACTGTAGAAATCTTCAGATTTTAAAGAAAACTTGTATTCAGTCCACACTCGTGACAGTCTGGTTAATATTCAAAAATTCATAAAAAATCATCCTTCATAGCTGATGTACAACTTTCACCACATCCTTACTCTGGAACACCCACTCTACCTGTGTGCCACGTTTCAGACAGATTTACTGTAGAAATCTTCAGATATTACAGAAAACTTGTATTCAGTCCACACTCGTGACAGTCTGGTTAATATTCAAAAATTCATAAAAAATCATCCGTCATAGCTGATGTACAACTTTCACCACATCCTTACTCTGGAACACCCACTGTACCTGTGTGCCACATTTCAGACAGATTTACTGTAGAAATCTTCAGATTTTAAAGAAAACTTGTAATCAGTCCACACTCGTGACAGTCTGGTTAATATTCAAAAATTCATAAAAAATCATCCGTCATAGCTGATGTACAACTTTCACCACATCCTTACTCTGGAACACCCACTGTACCTGTGTGTCACATTTCACACAGATTTACTGTAGAAATCTTCAGATTTTAAAGAAAACTTGTATTCAGTCCACACTCGTGACAGTCTGGTTAATATTCAAAAATTCATAAAAAATCATCCTTCATAGCTGATGTACAACTTTCACCACATCCTTACTCTGGAACACCCACTGTACCTGTGTGCCACATTTCAGACAGATTTACTGTAGAAATCTTCAGATATTACAGAAAACTTGTATTCAGTCCACACTAGTGACAGTCTGGTTAATATTCAAAAATTCATAAAAAATCATCCGTCATAGCTGATGTACAACTTTCACCACATCCTTACTCTGGAACACCCACTGTACCTGTGTGCCACATTTCAGACAGATTTACTGTAGAAATCTTCAGATATTACAGAAAACTTGTATTCAGTCCACACTAGTGACAGTCTGGTTAATATTCAAAAATTCATAAAAAATCATCCGTCATAGCTGATGTACAACTTTCACCACATCCTTACTCTGGAACACCCACTGTACCTGTGTGTCACATTTCACACAGATTTACTGTAGAAATCTTCAGATTTTAAAGAAAACTTGTATTCAGTCCACACTCGTGACAGTCTGGTTAATATTCAAAAATTCATAAAAAATCATCCGTCATAGCTGATGTACAACTTTCACCACATCCTTACTCTGGAACACCCACTGTACCTGTGTGCCACATTTCAGACAGATTTACTGTAGAAATCTTCAGATATTACAGAAAACTTGTATTCAGTCCACACTAGTGACAGTCTGGTTAATATTCAAAAATTCATAAAAAATCATCCGTCATAGCTGATGTACAACTTTCACCACATCCTTACTCTGGAACACCCACTGTACCTGTGTGTCACATTTCACACAGATTTACTGTAGAAATCTTCAGATTTTAAAGAAAACTTGTATTCAGTCCACACTCGTGACAGTCTGGTTAATATTCAAAAATTCATAAAAAATCATCCGTCATAGCTGATGTACAACTTTCATCCACATCCTTACTCTGGAACACCCACTGTACCTGTGTGCCACATTTCAGACAGATTTACTGTAGAAATCTTCAGATTTTAAAGAAAACTTGTATTCAGTCCACACTCGTGACAGTCAGGTTGCATATTCAAAAATTCATAAAAAATCATCCTTCATAGCTGATGTACAACTTTCACCACATCCTTCCTCTGGAACACCCACTGTACCTGTGAGCCACATTTCAGACAGATTTACTGTAGAAATCTTCAGATATTAAAGCAAACTTATATTCAGTTCAATACAGTCAATAGAATTATGTCATTTTTCAAAAATTCATAAAAAATCATCCTTCATAGCTGATGTACAACTTTCACCACATCCTTCCTCTGGAACACCCACTGTACCTGTGTGCCACATTTCAGACAGATTTACTGTAGAAATCTTCAGATTTTAAAGAAAACTTGTATTCAGTCCACACTCGTGACAGTCTGGTTAATATTCAAAAATTCATAAAAAATCATCCTTCATAGCTGATGTACAACTTTCACCACATCCTTCCTCTGGAACACCCACTGTACCTGTGTACCACATTTCAGACAGATTTACTGTAGAAATCTTCAGATATTAAAGCAAACTTATATTCAGTTCAATACAGTCAATAGAATTATGTCATTTTTCAAAAATTCATAAAAAATCATCCTTCATAGCTGATGTACAACTTTCACCACATCCTTCCTCTGGAACACCCACTGTACCTGTGTGCCACATTTCAGACAGATTTACTGTAGAAATCTTCAGATTTTAAAGAAAACTTGTATTCAGTCCACACTCGTGACAGTCTGATTAATATTCAAAAATTCATAAAAAATCATCCGTCATAGCTGATGTACAACTTTCACCACATCCTTACTCTGGAACACCCACTCTACCTGTGTGCCACATTTCAGACAGATTTACTGTAGAAATCTTCAGATTTTAAAGAAAACTTGTATTCAGTCCACACTCGTGACAGTCAGGTTAAATATTCAAAAATTCATTAAAAAGAAAGACTGCAATACAAAGTCAAAATGATCTAGCTTTATTTACATTTCTGAGATACATAACCTTTATATGTACACATACAAAATTTCTAAATAATATTTACACCTGTTCCTCTGTTTCTATCAGTGCAATAAGAAATTACATGACATTAGTCAACCTTATATTGTCACGTTGAAAGCTTGGTTTGTAGGACCCATAATGCAGCACCCAAGATGACACGATGCAGGGATGAGAATCAGTGAAATACTTTATTTAAAGGTGAGTCAAAAACAAAAGTAACTCTACGGCGGAGAGTCAAAATCCAAAATGTTCAAAATCTAATACTTGAGATACAAAAACAGAGATACAAGAAGAACAAGCAAACTAGAGACGAGGTACAGAATTACCACAAAGGACAGACAAGACACTGAGACAAGACAGGGCTTAAATACACAGGGAGGATGAGAGGGACATGAGCTGCAGGTGTGTGGGATGTGGGAGGAGGACCAGGTCAAGGCAATGACTAATCAGGGGAGAAGCATGAGGGGAGATGCAGACACAGACCATGACATATATACATTTTACAAATGAAATAAGACTATTTATTTTTCACAGAGTGCACACTCCCATTCTGCAGCCTCTGCCTTCTGATACAGCTCTGTGTTCATCTGCAAGCACTGTTTGTGAAACCACCTTGCACAGCTGTCACACTGGATCTGTGAATGTTCAACAAACCAAAAATCAAAAAATTTATTTTCTCACATGATTTAACATGAATATCTTTATTAATCTGCCACTACTATGTATTTCCTTTTTTCTTTACATATCAGTTATTCCAAATAACTAACACACCAAGGCAAAAAAAATTAATGCAAGTTTAGGCTAAATAACCCCTCTTCCTCAATACAAAAACCAAATTACAAAAGCAACTGTACACAATACAAGTTGTAAAATAATATCCTCAATTACAAATCTGTCTTACCCATTTGGTGATAGAAGGCCCTGGAAAAGGTGGTTTTGGGGTTGAACACATGGCGCAGTTGTTTTCTGCCTCGAACACTATTACAAATACAGTAAAATTTGTGAATCACAATGAATGTATTTAACTACAAGTAATCTCTTTGTGCTATAACACTTCACAAACCTGAGGCTCCCAGTATTTGTGAAGCAATTGCTTCACGCTGTTGCACCATTGCTTTCGGTGTTGTTTTAAATGTCATGCCTGGTTTTTTTGGAAAGGACTCCATGAACGCCTTAGCCATCTATGGAAATAGCAAAATACTCACAAAATAAGTTAGTCATATTGGTTTTCTATAGCAGTATCAATTTTCTAATGCAACATCAACACAAAAATGTTTTGAAACTCATGTCTGTTACTTTACCAAGATGACAATCACACCGCAGCTATTTGTGTCCTTCTGAACTGGGTGTTTCACAACTTCTCCTTGTAACTTTATATCCACCCAGTCAGTCTTGCCGATAGCAGTACGCCTCATTTTGAAGAACTCCCTGTGCAAGGGTTATACTGTCATGTCAGGGCCACGTGCAGGCAGGCAAAGTACCCAAAATGCAGTCGCGGAAACAAATGTTGAACTTAACTACAGCAATAATGCCGGACGGCAAACAGACAACTGTTCGGAACTCGAACACAAAATGAACCAGCTCGGCCCGGTGGCTGGCAGGGACAACACGCAGCATAGGAGACAGTAGATCGTGAGACGTGTAGATGAAAACACAGGGCTGAAAAACACAGAGGGAGCGAGCAGGGAATGGGAAACAGGATTGGAACTACAACTGTGGCAACTCAGGCCTAACGACACAAAGGAAGCAAAAACAGACACTTTAACATGAGACATAGACTTTCTAATTAAAACATGGAAAAAAACACAGACGCAGACTTGACACGTCGATACAGCCGAAAGGGTAGACAGCAACTATGGAACACAGAAAAGAAACAAAAAGGTACAACTATGACAAAGAAACCAAAAGATCACATACGGTAAACAAAAGCAACAATCAAAGTACAACAGTAATGAGCAATTAACACTATGGCTCAACGACCCAGGGACCCTAACAAATACATGTCATTACCGTATTTTGAATAGCACTGTCTTTGAGTACTGTATTAAATTGTCTATAGTACTCACAATTCATTATTCCTCTAATTTTCCTCAGTACCAAAGCCAATAGGGTTGCACCACCCAAAAACACACAGAATAAAGAAACTATAACTCTACAGAAAAAACAGGGACTGTCATATATTAAAACAGAAAAAAATTTACCAAGACATTACAAAAAAACTTGCAGGAACAGAAATGTTAACGCAAGTTCTTAATGCCAATGATTGACCCATCTACCATAGAGACACATAAAGTTTACGTAACACTGAGATTTAACACAACATTAAGCAAAAAATAATCAAGTAATCAAAAACTTGTGCTTTTTCATTGCTAAAATGTAATTAATGAGGCACATCGGCAGAACCGTCCCAACCCACTCATACGGACTGGATTACACATTTTGAAAACTGCAGCACTATAAAAGAACATGATCATTTAATCAATTAAATTTTTGAAAATGAGAATCTACCTGAATTTTTGTGCTGCCACTTTGGATTCTTCAAGCTCTCTTGTGTTGTGTGCTGGATCAACAAGGTAAAGACAGTTGTCTGCTTTACTTAGGTACTATAACAGAAAAGATAATATAATTAATTCTGTAGCCAGTAATTGCAGATATGTATCTGATTTTTATCATACTTGAGAGATTTGACTATAACTTGTTTGATCAGTTATTAAAGCTGATTGCTGTAATTAGTCCATGAAAAGCTGTTATACATATTATTACATCAATACCTATTGTAATCTTTCAAGTTAATTTACTTTAATTTCTATTTGCTATCGTCCTCTTTGTCCACACACCATTTACTACAGTCGAATACATTAAATGTCAGGTTTTAAGGTAAACTGATGGGAAACATTTAGTAGTCCAGTATACAGGTATTTGACATTTAGGACTTGATAGTGGGACATCACACACACACATAAATCAGGGCTAGTTGTCTCAGAAAGTAAAAAAAGTTTCCAGGGTGACATTTTATGGCACTTACAAAACCTAATTTTAAAAACAGAAATCTTATTATTCCATAATATTGAACTTAGTTCAGAATATGAATTTTCTGAAAGGCAATTTATGTTACTACTAACCAGGCACTTCCAGTGAACATTTCCAACGTTCACAAACGAAACAATTGCCTCGTAGTTATCAAAGTTGACCTGTTAACAAAAAATTAGAACAATGTAAAATAAAAACATATTTACATTGCAATATATGAATTTGTATATTTCACCTTTGACAAACAGTGCCTCCTCATCATTTCTCTTTTCCCAAACAGGATGACACCAGCAGTGTAGTGGTTCAGAATGTATATCTTACTGCCCAAATCCAGCTTGCAGGCCATAACATGCAGAGCACACTCTATAATCTGGTAAAAATGAAATTGAATAAAGAAGAGATGTCAAGTTAAACTGCTATTTATCTCCAGGCAAAAGCTTTATATCAAACAAAGACCACACTGTGGGTGACTCCTGTCAGTGACGAACAAGGAAATTTTAGTGACATTTTGTGCTCATAAATGTTAAACATATTAATAAAAACAGATTTAAAACAAAAATATAGGTCAATAACTTCCACAGTTACAAGATCACCGAACATTTTTACATCCTTTTGTCATGTCCACATGGTAAATTGGGCTAACAAAATGTGACACAAGACTAAAATTTTGTCTTTGACAATTTCACTTTATTTCCTCTTTGATATATATTTTAAATTTTTTAACGTATATTTATTTGTTTGTTTAATTAAAGGAATGCTGTTTATTTCAAATTACAGTTAGTGATTTGGAGTTGTATAAAAAATTTTAAGTATAAAACATTTGAAGATTCAAGTGCATTAGCACTGTAACAAATCCATTTAAGATTAAAGCACGTATAAACAATAGCTTTGTCTATAAAAACATTGCGTCTGTCTAACGTGGATGGAAAAATTTGTTGTTGATATGGGAACAGCATTAAGATCAGTGATGTTTTGGCTCTATGAATAGCAATAAATAAAAAAAACAACAACAGGAAATTAAATGGTGGATATGAAAGGATTAGTGTAAAACAGTATTTAAAATACAGCTTCATTTGTTTTGTAGTCTGTCTCTTAGGGATCCTGGGCTCCCACGCCTTGTGTGGCCCTGTGTGGCCCTGTGTTTTCCCTCCAGGCTTTTCAGGACCTTGGACAAGTCCTCCATCAGGCTGGCTTCCGCCTAGGCCCGCCCACTCTGCAACAGCTGCAGACAATCCCCATGATGATGAAGCGCTAGCTAAAAGGACTCCTGTTACAGTTATTCAGTGGGAGAATGACGTGGTTTGTTTGAGTTTTTCCAGTGTAGGACTGTGTATATTGGTTGCCCTCCCTGTTTAAATATATGTCTTTTCTTTAGACTCACCACTCCTTCTCCGCATCAGTTCTTATGTTACCCCTTTCCACAACACTTAAAACACAGGGTTTGTAAAACTGTCTTTTCCATGTACCTCGCCTGTTAACCATTGATGAGGTTCCAGGGATTGCAGCTCGCTGTGGTGAACTATAAAGTTGTTCCCTTTTATTTGTGATGGAATCACAGCAACGACAACTTCGGTTTCCTCTCTTTTCCACAGTGCTGTGACCTATGGGTAAAATTAAGAGTGTGTTTGTATTTGTGGCACAACAGTAAGAAACTATTAACACATTGTCAAAGAAGTACACAAATCAGTAAGGTTGTTTTTTCAAAGATGTTCAACATAATACTATAAATGCTTTCATTTTGTTTGGTGATATGGAAACACATATAAATGAACCCCAAAAGCTGATTTTCTTCATCTGCACGTAGCGTTTGCAGAGGGACAAACATTTCTTCAGTCATCCAAGAAATGTATTCACTCTCACCTCTCTCCAAGTTTCACGCATCTTACAAAATGTAAATTTGTATACTGAGTCATGGGCATTTAGTAGTGATCTGTGATCAGTCGTTGTTGATCAATGGTCACACCAATTTGCACAATTATGATGAAGCAACTCACATCACAACCCATCATTACTTCAGTTTGCTTGTTTCAGTCATTATGAAAATGTATTCTTTCTAACTTTGGTGAAAACTGCAGTCAGCTTAGAGTGAAGAAGTTACTTGGATAAGTGAGGAAACATGTCTCCCACTGAAAAAGCGGCGTCCAGGTGAATAGATTGAACCTTTTGAGATTGACATAAAAAGGATGATTGACAATTCATTCAGACATATAAATGACTATGTGTTACACCAACATAGGTACCTAATACATTTATCGGACAAGTTAAGGTTTTTTAAAAAAGTTTTTATGTGCACAAGATTGTTATCTTCAAATTTAATTTGTGAATACTAATAACTCTATTTCACATCAGGGTAGGCTACCGCAATCAATAATTAATTAGTTTGGAAAAGCTATTAAAAGGATAAATAGTTAAAAGGGAACATAAACCCTTTTCAGCATAACAGAATACCTAAGCCTTCGTTTTGCAAAAAAACTTCTAACATACAAATTCACGTTCTTCTCATGCAACCACCCGCATGTTTCCGAAGTGTGTCTGAATGACATAGCAGCGACTCCTGATGTTATGTCTGTTTGTTGACATTTCATCGAAGTTACAGACAGTACAATAGACATTGATTCACCTGTAATTTATCCAATGTTTTGCCCTTTTCCGCCTCCTGGACTTTTCTGGAGTTGTTTGGCAAATCCCATCCTTGGATGTCTTCTGTGCTCTAATATAAATTAAAACACATGACCATTTCAATATTGTTTAATATGTGTAAACATGGCCTATCATTCCATCTCTATGCTGACGATTGCCAGATTTACTCTCCATTGTGTCAGGATAAAGGTCACTCTATCCAGTCCTTAGTGTCCTGTGTTAATGAGGTGAAGTCTTGCCTAATGGCCAACTACCTAGATCTGAATGAGGGAAAAACAGAGCTCATTGTTTTTCACCCCAACAGCAGGAATGTGGATCGTTATGTAGATCTTGGCCCTCTTTCTACATACTCAAAACCAGTTGTTACCAGTTTTGGGGTGAAACTTGATGCAGGACTTAAATTTGATGCTCACATCAATTCTGTGATCCGGTCCAGTGTCTTTCACCTGAAATGCCTTGCAAAAATCAGGCCCATGCTGTCGAGAGCCCACCTGGAGCGGGTACTGCATGCCTTTGTAATTTCTAGGCTTGACTACTGCAACTCTCTCTACGCAGGGTTGTGTCAGTCATCACTGCGTCGCCTACAGGTTGTGCAGAACAGCGCCGCCAGGTTCCTGACTGGGGCCAGGAAACGGGACCACATCAGTCCGGTTCTGGCCTCCCTGCACTGGCTTCCGATTTGCTATCGCTCACAATTCAAAATCCTCGTCTTTGTTTACAGTTTCTTCCAGGGTGGTGGTCCCCCCTATCTAGCCACACTCCTGAACAGACATTCCCCATCACGCGCTCCTCTGACCAAGGCCTGCTCGCTGTCCCTCGTTCTAGGTGTCGTGCCCGTGGGGACCGGGCTTTCTCAGTCCTAGCACCGTTACTCTGGAACCAGTTGCCACCCTCAGTTAGGCTGTCCCCTTCTCTGCCAGTCTTTAAGAATCACCTAAAAACACACTTCCTCCGCTTGGCGTTTCCAGAACATGTTTGATTTTGGCCCTCTTTTATGTAGAATTGATTTCACAGTTTTCATTGGTTCACTCAATCCATCCACTCAATCCGAATGTGTTTCTCACTTTTGTCCTGTACCAGAATCTTTCTTCTATCTTGTAATTTCTATTTTGTAATTTGTATCTTGTAATTTCTATTTTGGAATTTGGATTTAGTAATTTCTATTTTGTTATTTGAATTCCTTTTATAGTTGATTTATTCAATATATTTATCTACAACAGTACCATGTTCAGCGCTTTGGGCTTCCTGACAGGGTTGCGGAAGGTGCTTTATAAGTAAAGCTTTGATTGATTGGTTGATTGATTGATGTATGTGTGTGTGTGTGTGTGTGTGTGTGTGTGTGTGTGTGTGTGTGTGTGTGTATACTGTATATATTTATGTATGTATATCTCACAATAAATAAAAATCTAACCTGTGTAGTGACAGCTTCAGTCTGCTCTGTGGGCACATCTGAGTCTGGTGGTTCTTGTAGATAATCCTTAGAGAAATAATGAAATTACTACTTTCCATGGAAGAACACAGAATACTTACATAACACACATGAAAATGTATGTCTTTATCAGAACTTAAATAGTTCTCTATCTATAATACACACATAGGTTAAGACAATATGCAGTCTGCATTATGTGTTTAAATGTTACTGCATTTACAGAACAAAATGCTAATTGTTGTAAATGGTCTTCTACAACTGCAATAACTAACAATAATGCTAATTACTTCAATAACAACAAGTATTTTATGGCTAGCTGTTGCTATGTGTGGAGAGTTCCAGTGTCATGATTTTTAATAACCAATTTTTTGCTAAAAGCTGTGAAAGACTAATGAGGTTTTTAATTATGAAATGTAGTATGGCACAACAGATGGTTATTTAATCTGTTCAAAACAGTTTTAACACATTGACGAGTTACAATTACTGTACAGTGATGTATAGTTGACATCGTTATTTACTTTCCAAAACATGCATACAATCATAGGAATATAAAGAGAGTTACAGTAAGATTACATAATTTATTGCATGCTTAATAGAAGCAAAAAAAAAAAAAAAAAAAACCAAGTATACATTGTAATTGGCATACAACACACAACATTTCAAATAGAACAAATTGTGGTGACATGCATAGATGAAAGAAAAAGTGATGATACCTTACCTGTTTGACTTGTTTTCCCATCTGAGGAGTTACATAGAAGCCTTTTCGCTTTCTACTTATTTTCTTCCACTTCTCGGTCTCCACTCGGTAAGACTGAAAAGTATAATTTAAAAATAATTAACAAGAATTGTTTGATCTGATCTTTATGTACAAAATATTCCAAACAAGCAAACAGTCAAGGACATTTACTGTAATTCCAAACTTATTGGAATGCGAAATGCTTAATGCTTCATGTCTTTTGTTTAATTCCAGTTGTCAGTCTAATAATCTCCTACATTTATCATATCTGAAAACTCATTATAACCACATGTAATGCAGTTGTAAATTTGTTTTCTAATAACACAAAGTCTCAACGACAGTAACAAATACATTTTAGACTAAAGCATGCACATAAAACACACAATTCATAATGTTAATGCAAATATTCATTACAGATATGATAAATGCAACTACAGCAGTGCGAATGACTTTTGTTGTGTAAAAACTGCACCAAAGCAGTCCAGAAATTTGAATTATTGTCTTCAAACCTCACCTTCCTCCTTTTGTTGACCACATCTCCATATTCTCTGAGAAGACCATCATGTTTCCTTTGATATATGAGCACAAAGTCATCTAATCTAGTGAGACGCTTTCCATCAAAACGAATCCTTTTCAGGTCCCATTGACTTTTTTCCATGATCCCTTGTGTACGGTTGTCTTCAGTGTAGTTCTGAAAATGGTAATTACATCATTTAGTCTTTTGACAAAATCTGCATAATGTGTCTTTTACTGTCTTAATTTATTCTACCTGCGTGTTCAACTGCGACACCTGATTGTACCGTTTACTGAGAAAGACATACGCTGATCCTTTGCCATGCCGTCCAAGGTCTCCTAAATAAAAACAGTACTTTCAATCAATAAAGCACAACAATTATAACATAAAAGTGATGATTGAACGAAACTAGACATACCAAGCAGCATTCCTGACCACAAGGTAGCATGTGGAAGAAAGTATTTAGAAAGACTTGAAATGAATGCTGGTGCATGGTACACATTCGGTGGTCCAGTCACATCAAGGTGGGCACTGGCAATTACTTCTGCAAAGTGCTGGTTAAGTGATGAGTGAACTGTTGTCGTCTGAAAAAAAAAAAATTTAAGTGTCATATAATTAACAAAAATTTCGGATAATGAAGACCTTATTTTGTTTTAAAAAACACATACATGTGCTACAAAACAATGTTATTGGTGTCACACTATAACATGAACACAATTAATATCTCAACCATTGAAAACCAAACTTAATTTTAAAATTACCTTGTAGTCCTCTGGAATGATGTCTTTTTCTTCATCATCACCATTTCCCGTCGGATTGATCAGCAGTTTGAGGTTCTGCAGGTGTTTTTGCACTTCTGGTCCACTGCATGGACTTTTGAAAACTACTGTTGCACTTACAATAATGCCATCGAAATCTTTCAGGTTGGAAGAACAGGCCAGTAATCCAAAAACGTGCATGCCAAATTTGTAGTGTTTCTCAAGTCTGTAGTCAAAAAAGCATATTAACAATTACCATGAATACTAAACACAAACAAAATCAAATAATTAGCAGAAAAAACATTAACAAAATATAATTATAATAGACATAAATTAACAAGTCAACAATATCTACAAGGGCAAGACCACTAACACCAAAGAAATACTTAAAACAGAAAACTAACATTCGTACTCAAGGACTTTGAGCACAAATACCTCTTTTTGCAAAGATCCTTTGCGTTCTTCATGATGTGACTCAAACACCGGTGGAGAATGGGTATGTTGAAGTTATCCGTGTCCAACTGTCCTGTGATAACCTGGAAGTATCTCTCCAAGAGGTCTTCCAAACTTGCTCTGCAGAATGTTATCGCAATGGACTGGAGAAGCACCAGTGAGCCATCACATATGATCATTACTGGCCTTTTGTTTGCCCTGCTTCCATACATTCGTGTAAGCTCTGTTTGAAATGCTTGTACAAAATATGTTACAGAAGCCGTGGTATGGTCACATGTAACAAAAGTTGCTGTTGGAAGAGGTGAGGATCCCTTGAAGGGATTTCGAACTATAATTTCATACACATAGTACGGAGTAGCAGAAGCATTATCTTTTGAGATAATGCTTCCTGTTGCATCAAAATATACTATGTCATCTTTGCACCGTTGGTAAAACACTGTAAGTGTTTTTCGGGACCAGAGCATTATACCTTTTGGATGCAGGAGCACTCTCTGAAGGACTTCGTTTGGAAGTCCTTGCTGTCTGTCAAGTAAAATTTGCAGACTGGCCATCTCATTTAAATGAGGTCTGTCTTTTGTTCTGTGGGACCAGGCAATATTTTTCAAGACCTCTTTAGATGGAGCCTCATCCCGACACCCGGCTTGGAAAGCTTTTTCTGGTATTTTAATTAGAGAATCCAGATAAAGACTTCTTGGCATTTTGGTTTCCAGTTGTTCTGCTATTTCGTCTCTGGAGTGTCCACGCACAGGTCTTGTTTTTATTTCCTTTGTGTTGTGGCACACCTCACCTCCTTGGAAAAGCACATCAGCCTTCAGGGTTTTTTCATCTTTAACCTCCACTGTCACAGTCACTGGACAATCCTTAAAACGGCAGTATGCCTTACATGAGAACACAGCCCTCTTAGACCGTGACTGACTGGTGTTGATGGTATGCCTCTTAAATCCAAAACTGCAAAATGGGTGTACTGACTTAATGCCAGTGGCTACAACATTAGTCCACTGCAGTCCTTTGAAAAGCCTCCCTTTCTGCGTTTTTCTTAGGTCTTGCCAGTCTTTCGGGTCAATGAAAAAAAAAACAAGGCTGCTGTGGCAATGAGCATTTGTAGAATTCCTCTTCAGCATTACTGTCACTGTTGTTGGGTGAATCTGTACTCCAGTCCTAAAACACATTAATTATTAAAAATAAGAAATATGTGATGTAATTTCATTAAAAATAATGGTATGTGGACAATAATTTACCTGTTCGAGTGATGTAGACGATTGTGGTGTAGACACACCAGTTTGTGGCTGTTTCAATTCAGGAGAAATGTTTTGGAAAATGCCATTGTCATCACTGTCCTCTGAAACATCCTTTGAATGTAATTGTATTTGTCAAACAAAGAAATTATTTTTAAATAGAGACACTGTTTTAATCAAGTGCAATCACTTAAAAGTTATGTAATAAATAATTCCAACCTGTTTGAGCAAAAAGAGAGATTCATTTCCTTCCTTTTCAGGTGGATACATCTCGAGTGTTTCGCCGCCACTGTTTCCTTCATCCTGAGTGTGAAATAATTATTAGCTCATGAGTATAGTAATGTAAAAAAAAAAATACACGTTTTAGTTTTAAAGGTTTACATTGGTTGACATAATACAAGTAATTCACTTACACAAACACTCACTAATATGATGAAAGGAATGATTCATATATATTGCTTTTCGACTCTCCCAGACTACTCAAAGCGCTCTGGACTACATGTCACATTCACAACACGTCATACATGCACTTAGAAAATCAAGTGCTAAATAATAAACATTTACACACATTCACAGTCCGATGAGCGCATCGGAGGGCAACTTGTGGTTAGTATCTTGACAAAGGATATTTGGCATGCAGACTGAGCCAGGAATCAACGCGTATATCTGCTAAACAACCTGACCCGCAGCCACACAGCAGAAAATAAATAGTAATTTACATTTGTTTGATACAATGTTGACGCACAAGGTAGGTAGACATGGCCTATCATTCCATCTCTATGCTGACGATTGCCTGATTTACTCTCCATTGTGTCCGGAGAAAGGTGACTCTATCCAGTCATTTTTGTCCAGTGTTAACGAGGTGAGGTGTTGGCTAATGGCCAACGTTCTGCATCTGAATGAGGGAAAGACAAAGCTCATTGTTTGTCACCCCAATAGCAGGAATGTGGATCGTAATGTTGATCTTGGGCCTCTTTCGCCATACTCCAAGCCAGTTGTGACCAGTTTGGGGGTGAAACTTGATGCTGGACTTAAATTTGATGCTCACATCAACTATGTGATCCGGTCCAGTTTCTTTCACCTGAGACGCCTTGCAAAAATCAAGCCCATGCTGTCAAGAGCCCACCTGGAGCGGGTACTCCATGCTTTTGTAATTTCTAGCCTTGATTACTGCAGCTCTCTATATGCAGGGTTGTGTCAGTCATCACTGCGTTGCCTACAGGTGGTGCAGAACAGCGCAGCCAGGTTGCTGACTGGGACTAGGAAACGGGATCACATCATATGCGTTTGCCCTTCAAGAAACAACGGTTCCTGTGTTTTGTGCCTCCATCCATTAAAGCACATGTCTCATGTTAGGTGTTACTATTAACCTGTACACTATGGAGTTACCACTACACTACAATTCATATAAAACCATAAATTCATGTGGAAATGATTGTTTAACTACGTAATCTAAACATTAATACAATTTTAAAAATTTAACTTTTGAATTCATAACAATACACGTTACATAAAATCAATCATGTCATTTTATTGTGAAATACGTACCAAAGAAGATTTACTCTCTCCGGAGGTCCCACTATCACCTTCAACATCAAGATTGTTTGTTTGGTGTATGACTTCCATGTTTCCCTGTTTAATACACATGTAGAAATTACATTGTCATCGACCTGTAATGATAAACAGTATCCTTCCACCAAGTTAAACTTAGGTGTGCCTGTGCAAGGCACAATCTATATTATTCATCCACTGTTCTTCAGGTCTAAACAAACGTCTGTTGCTCAAGGAATTTTTGCTCTGGAATTTCTTTCAGAGCTTATAAAATTTTTACACTATCCTTCGTAAATACTAAGTCCAGAGTAGTATTCAGACTATAAACATAGATATCATAGAGTGCTTACCTTTTGGTAGTGCAGAGCAACAAGATTAAGTTTTTTACGATTTGCATAATTATTTGGCACTCCCAAGTCTCTGCACACATTACTCCAGAATGCGTCTCCTCGGTGAACACTGTGTTTGTTTCTGTTGTGTGGTTCGGCGAAAGTCTCAGTGCATTGTATTATATGTTCATGTTTCAGACGAATTTTCCGTGCCTGTAAATGTAAGTAAAATAATTACATGAAATAGAGAGATCTAGAACTACAAAGTTTTTTAGACTTTATAATTTAATTACAATCACATTTTATTGAATATCTTTTTCAAAATATTGTTTAAGGAGAAAACTTGCCTTTCCAAAGGCAGTAAATGTTGAGGTCCTGTAACACAAATAAGAAATTAAAAAACAAATGCTTCAATGTATTTGACAAACAATAAAATTTGAAGTTTTTCTTCATAAACGTGTTATGTTTATATATTTCTTGTATAACTCGAAATGATATATTTAAAACCACTGGGGTGACTGAAATGGTCTTGGATGGTAACAGACTAATCATATTTTTGTTAACACACCATTCTAGTCAGAGATATGGACAAAGCAAAAGGCTGATTATTTGTGTTTCGGGTGCAAGGAAATAAACCTACATAGCAAAAGTTATTAAATCATCTCTTAAAATCAACTGTCTTTCTAACAAATTATTTTCTAAAGTGTTGGTTTTTCTTGGCTACCTAGAACATTACGTGGTTATAACAAATCTATTACGTTATGTGTCCCTAATTAAATACATAGTACTCCAAAACACATTGAAACACCATTTTACTGTAAAAAAAAGTAATGGGAAGCAAATAACAAATGAAGCAAAAACCCATACGGAAAACGTCGCAAAAAATGTAAGTCAATAAGGCAAAGGACATGATTTGCAGCTAAAGCTAATTTCATGCTTACCTTCTCTGTCGTTTTGCGTCGCTCATGTTGTCAACAACAGGAACTCGTAACTGTTCAAAGTTAACAAACTAACTTTGTTTCACAGTGTCCAGTAAAAATGTAACTCCCTAGTTCCTACAATTGTCTAATCATGTGCACGCATCACACCACCACAGCAACTACTTGTCTCGTTGGGATCGCTGTGGCCATAGTCTACTACAGTCAACCTTCACCCTTAAGTCCCAAGAATTACAAGATCCGCCCCAAAGTCCTGAAGCAGGTTGAAAAGACCCTTAACCCACACGGATGACTCTGATAGCTCCACTTAGCATCCCTTCA